TATATCTATATCTATCTATATCTATATCTATATCTATATCTATATCTATATCTATATCTATATCTATATCTATATCTATCTATATCTATATCTATATCTATATCTATATCTATATCTATATCTATATCTTCCCCCCCATTTGGGCCCCAAGAGATCTTTTGAGAAAAGTAAATCTCAACAAGCCAGCAATCCTGACCCAAACTGAATTTTCAATAAAAAATCTGTTGCACCTATTTTGAATGCAAGGAAATTTGGAGAAAGCTTGGTGAACCCAAAAAGTGCTGTGCACTGTCTTGGTGACAGTGCCTGTCATGGGCTAGTTTCAAGGCTGGATGGAAAAGATGACAGAAACCACCGTGACATCTTYACCACTAAGGTCAGCAGCAATCCCTCTGCTCTGTACTGAATGCTCATTATGCTCCAGRTGCTGAACTAAAACATGATCTATTGTCTTATTGGATCTTTAAAACAACTCTTTACACTTGAGAAATCTGGGTTTATCATCATTAAGTAAGGATGAGGACAACTCCACCTGTGTAAATTTGCCTGGGGAAAGAAGGGAGGCGATGCTCAGGAAGCTTGTGTCTCCTCTACAGAGGGGGGTGCTCTGGATGGTGGCCTTGTCTGCTGACCTYTGAGAGGTGGCTGGGAGGGGTGCATTGCCAGGGGGATATCTGTGTGAGTCTTTCTGACAACAACTTGCTATAGGACAACATAGTTTTATGTTGAAAGGCTTTGGTGCTGCACAGGCCTAAGTCGTGGGAAGCAGAAGCCTGGGTGTTTTGGAATCAGGAGCGGTGGCCTCCGCTGAACCCACTTCAAAGTCACCCTTGATTGCCATTTGCCTGACTGGAGGTTTTGATGGCTTGAGATGACAAGCATGCTCAGGCCCATGTCCCTGTGGGTGACTTAGTGGGTCACTGGGGATGTGGACCCTTCCTGTAGTGACAGGAATGTGGTAGCCATTGACTGGGTCTCTGCAAGGCAATCCTCCAACTGCTGGTCAGGGGACCCAGCCATGCAGAAGAGGATGCCGGGATCACACTCTTCTGATGTGAACAGGTGTGAGAACACYGCGTGTCTCAGATGAGCTCATCCCACCTCTTATGATTCAGTTCTGCTATCACAGAGAAACAAAGCACAGGCCAACAATTTGTATAAAACATTGTTTTTTTAATAAAACAAACCAGCTCATTCATGGAGGCACAGGGCACKGGTTAACTTGTGCTCCATGTAACTTGCACACTTCTTCTAAAATAATGGCTTGAGTCTTGTGAACTTGGCTGCCTCAAGCAGTGTCCACTGGAGCACAGCTTCCTGGGCAGCCGAGCCCAGGTCTGACAGAGAGGCTCAGGGCTGAATTTTCATCCTSCCAGAGTTGGTTCAGCGTCCCGCACTCTTGAGGTCCTGCAAGACTACATGGGCTGCATTTCGTCCAGCGGCTCCCATCACACCTCCTCCTGGAACCAAAGCTTTTCTCAAAAAACCCAGCAGGGAGGGATGAGGCAGGGCGTACAGAGACCCTGGGACAACTGCTCCAAGAGACTCTGGGCTCCCTCCAGGCTTCYGGCCACAGCAGGGGAGGGGCAGGCCACAGTTCCCACCCCCTCCCTCAGTCTGCTCTGCAGTCTGAATGTTACCCTACCTGGTGAGACCCTTAGCAGGCAAATAAAAAATACCAGCATGAGGTTGGAGGGGGAAGACGCGTGAGTAGAGCCCTTTCTAAGAGGCTGCGCCTGCAGAGCTCAGAGGAAGTGTCAGTAGGAAGCAGCAGCCTCATCCCAACCAGTTAGCTTGAAGTGGCACAGGAAAGAATTTTAAAGTTGAGGAACTTTAGTCAGCTTTTCTGGTCTCATATATGGATTGGGAATTTAGGGACATGGGTCTCCCTTAACACAAAACTGGAATTGGGCAAGATGCCTTAGGTGGGACACATTCTAAACCCAAGGAGCGGGCGGTGTGCGCTGAACTGAGGGTCGTGGACAGTCAGGCAGAGGCACCCTGTGTGCTCACCCTGCGCAGAGAATTCTGGACACGGGCCTGGCTTGCTGGGGGTGGGGGTGGGGTGGGGGTCCACGCCCCCTCTCGCCCTCATCCTGCAGCCTCCTCCTCTTCCTGCAACCCCTCACAGCCCACACAGGGAAGCGGGATCACTCACCAGGATGGGCCCCACTTCCGCACAGATACAGGCCTTGGAGAGGGCAGCGGTAGCTGGAGTGCAGGGGCACTGGGCGGGCGAAGTAGAGCTGGTCCAGGGTCATGGCGCAGTGGAATATGTTCTGTGGAGGCAGGGCCGTGGCCATTAACATCCGAGTGCTGCCGTCTTTATTGCCCCGGCAAAGTTTCTTCCCTTCCCCTGTTCTGAAAGGAAAGTCCTTCTCCTTCCAAGATATTTTCTTGGGTTCTTAAAAGTGCAGAAAGGGATGAGGATGAGAGAGGGCTAGGGCTGAGGTTTTCCAGAGACATTTTTCAGGATGAAAGAAGGCCAGGAGGGGGGGCATCCTCAGAGGGCGAGGAARCTGAATGGGAAAGAAATGGGGGGTYGTAAGGGATTTTCCTTAGACCATGAGTCTCCCTCAGTATGTCTGAAAAATAGGAGCATTTGATTTGCCTGACTGCTGGCTGCTTCTGCGGGACCTCCTTTCTTAGACTAAGCCACCCTGGACCCCTGGGGTCCAGGCTCCATCAGGATCACTGTCAAAGACAGACCAGGGTCAATGGGACCCAGTGAGGTTCTGCTCCACCTGCCTGGGTCAGACCATCCCTGGGCTAGAAGTGGACAAGGCAAGGTTAGATGTGTCAGTCCTGGACAAGGACATCAACCCCTGCTGGAGATGCTGCTCCCGCTGCCCCCTCACCATGCCCCAAGCTGAGCCATGCTCTCCCCCAAGTCTGCCCCTCTCCTCAGCCGCCAGGATGGACCCTTGGCATCACCTCCGCCCTCTGCCTGCACCTCCTCCCTCTGCCTGCACCTCCTCAAGTGCACTGTCACCAAGGCCACAGAGCCCTACTTGCCCCGTGGCGTGCTCTCCCTCCCATTTCCTTCCTTCCGGCTGCATCTGGACCAGCGCTGCCCAGGAAAATCCTGACGAGGGCCACACGGGTAATTTTAGATTTACTAGTAGCCACGTTTAAGAGGTAAAAGCAAACTGGTCCATAATAGTAATGTTGATAAACTATCTTATTGATCTGAGTACTGTGGCATAGACCTGTAATCCTGGCTACTCCAGCTGCTGAGACAGGAGGATCACAAGTTCAAGGCCAACCTCAGCAACTCAGCAAGACCCTGTCCTAAAACAAAGTAGAAGGAGGTGAGGTGTGGCTCAGGGGTAGAGTGCTGGCCTAGCATGTGGGAAGCCCTGGGTTCAATCCTCAGTAACTAAATAATAACAATGATAATTTTATTTAGCCTAATCCCAAATATCACCATTTTATTGTGCAATCAACATTAGGCACTAATGAGACAGTAGCATGGTTTTCCATGCTGTCTCTGCATTGCACACCTGCCGCAGATCTCACTTTGGCCTCACCACCATTCTGTGTTCCATAGCCACCTGGGGCTGGTGGCTGCCATATTGAAGCTGATCTCCTAATTGGGCTCCCTGCCTCTGGCCTCTGGCATTTGATAAATTGAAGGGAAGTGCAAGGACGGGCTTCTTKAAGGAGGGAGCTCCTTCTGAAGAAAGTCAGATGGGAGAGGATGATGTGGATAAGGAGGCAGAAGGGCCATAACCCTGGTGGCCTTCTCAGGTGGCACCTATGTCTCCATGTCCCCATCCCTCCCCCATTCTCTAGGTCTGACCACTTCTCTGTCCTCTCTCAACCATGGTCTCTGCCACTATCCTCCCATATGAAGAAGGCCAAGTAAGGCCCAGGGGACAGAGCCACAAAGTGGGGTGCAGGAAGAGGAATATGATGAGAGACCCAGGCTTAGACTCACCCCTCCAGGAAGCCCAAAGATTCTCTCCAGATCAGGAGGTGTGAGGATGTCTCTGCCCACTACAGAGCCCTTGAAGCCAGGGGCGTAGGCCTCAATGCAGTCCAACACTGGGTGTCCAGGGGAATGAGATGGTGTTGGGAAGAAGAGGAGGGAGGCGTTAGAGTTACACAGCTTGGAAAATCTACCAAAACTCATTAAATTGATGCTTAAAAGGGTTCATTTTATCCTACGCAAATTATACCTAATAAGTAAAAAACAAAGCAAAACAAGAAACAGTCCACAGGCAAATAAAAAATTCATCATAAAGGCCTATGGGTCTTAGCCGGCCCAGGCCCCACTCTTTCCCCACTCCTTACCCAACCCCAGAGACTAAGCTGCTTGCCTCCTCTTTTTCACCTCTTTGCTCTGCTCAAGGTGTTTCTTTTGCTTGCAAACGCCCTTTGCTCTCTGGCTAACTCCTATTCATCCTTTAAAGCCCAGTTCAAAAGTCCCTTCCTTTGCAAGTTTTTCTTTCTGGCTCAGGGCTTCCTCATTTTGTTCAATAAAATATATTGAATGATAGCGGTTGGTTTCTTTTTCTTTTCTTTTTTTTTTTTTAAAGAGAGAGAGAGTCTCTTAATATTCATTTTTAGTTTTCAGTGGACACAACATCTTTAATTTTTATTTTATTTTTATGTGGTGCTGAGGATYGAACCCGGATCCCSTCCGGGCTAGGTGGGCACTCTACCACTAAGCCACAATCCCAGCCTCACGGTTGGTTTCTTAATGGTCTCCCCACTAGACTTCCAGCACTTGAGGCAGGAACCACATCTTTTGGCTTTCTTAGCCTAGCACCCAACCCAGTAGACGGTCACCATGCCGACGTGAGCCTCCCTTGGGCCACCCTCTCTCCTCCTGGGACAGCACCTGTAGGTGTTCATCTTGAATGAGGTGGTCAGGAGGGGAGGGGTCTACTTGGTCACATGACCAGCTGTCACCTGGAGGCTGGCTGGTGTGGCCCTCTTTACCTTTGTCTGCATAGGCATTTCTCTCCTGCTCATCCCAGACCTTGCCTCCAGCCAGCGTGTAGGGCGTGTACTGCGTGAAGAGGGAGAYGACGTGGCAGCCGGGGGGAGCCAGGGTGGGGTCCAGTGAGGAAGGGATGCAGAGCTCAATCATGGGCCTGCGATGCAGGGGAGGAGACGGTCAGGCTGAAGAGAAGGGGCTGGGGAGCCACTCTGAGATGAATTGGGACAAAATGAAGGCCCTGAGATGACACCAACGCGGGGCCCATTGTCACTGGAAGGCCAGAGGGCTAATGTACCCAACTGGGTTTAGCAACCACCAGGGCCGTCCAGACCACCCCTGAGGAGCACCTTCAGCCCTAGCCCCAGCCCCTGCCAGGCCTCAGGCCCCTGAGTTGCTGGTCTGCCCCAGCCCCCTGTAATGTGTGGCCTGTCATCTCCTTCCTTCCCCAGACACCTTGAACTCTAACCAGGGCCCCCCAACTCGATGTCTCCAGGGTCTGGACATACAGTGAGAACAAGAAGGTGCCAGGACCCAGAAGCAGGTGCCCAGGTGGCCTGGTTTCAACCAGGCAAACCCCACCTGACCAGAACCTGTTCCTGAGTCGGCCCAACAAACCAGAGCTGCTGGGGCTGCTCCAGCACCCAACCGTGGACTGTGAGCCACGTCCATCCCCAGCGCCTTTGCCTGCAACCAACACCTTTTCTACCCGGAGCACATTTTCCCTCTGACCTCCCAAAACATCAGCCCTCCATATCTGAGGGTTCCATGGACTCACCAAACACAAGTTGAAAATATTAACAACAAACAAGACTCGCGTCTGTATGAACRCACAGGCTTTCCCCCAATACAGTATAACAACTACTTGGATAGCATTTCACTGTATTGTGTATTATAACACATCTAGCGGGTGCAGTGGCGCACACCTGTAATCCTAGTGGCTCGGGAGACTGAGGCAGGAGGATCACAAGTTCAAAGCCAGCCTCAGCAACGACAAGGCACTAAGCAACTCAGTGAGACCCCCGTCTCTAAATAAAGTACAAAAAAGGGCTGGGGATGTGGCTCAGTGGTTGAGTGCCCCTGAGTTCAATTCCCGGTAACCCCCCACACAAAAAAAAACATCTAGAGGTGATTTAAAGTACACAGAATGTGCATAGGTTATATGAAAATAGTTGTACATAGGGACTTGAGCCTCTGGAGATTTCAGTACCCGTGGATGAGGAAGGGAAGTCCCGGAACCAGGTGCCCATGCATACCAACCTTGTGAGCATCCTTCAGGCCATCTGAAATGCCCCTCCTCCGCATCCCTCAACTTTCCCTCTGAACTTGGACATCTACCAGCATCTCCAGTGACCTTGTCCCAACCTCAACGTCTGATATCCTCTTAACCCCCCTCCCCCCAAGCCTCTCCCTTTTTCAATAAATGCAACCATAATTTTCTAATTGCCCTTCTTTTCACTCACACCCGATTTCTGTTCAACAGCAAGTCTCATCAATGAACCTTCAAAATATGACCAGAATCTGGCCACTTCTCATCACTTCCTTTGTTCCCACCCTGGTCCAAGCCACTGTCCCCTTTCCCTTGGATTCTGCACCAGTAATCAGTTGCAACAGATGCCCTCCCTTTTTCTCCACACAGTGGCCAGGACAGAGGTTATAAGTCAGGCTCAGCATAAACTTTCCTGGCATGAAAGCCAGGAGCTGTGACAAGACCCAACAGGATGGAGTTGCTGCGGTTTTCAGCCCCTTCCCTCCCAGGTTCTTTCCCCAGTCACTCTGGCCTCATTCCTCTGTCTCTAACACAGCAGCACACTCCTGCCCCAGGGCCTTTGCACCCCACCATGTGAATGCTCTTCTCCAGATACCCACAAAACCAGTATTCTAACTTCTTTCAGGTCTCTGCTCCAATATCACAGGAATTAGCCTTTTATATAGCAAACGTTCCCCTCCCCTGCCTTTATTTTCTCCCTAGCACTTATCACCAGCATGTGATGCTGACTGTCTTGTCTCCCTCCAGTGAAAGGTCAGCAACTCAGGCAGAGGCCTTGTTGACTTTGTTTGCTGCTCTGTGCCCAGGTCCCTGAACCAAACCTGACACAGAATAGGGGCCTCAAAACATTTGCGAATGGGTAAACTTTGCCCTGCACCTTTCTCTTTAGCCCCACGTCTTCTTTACCTTATGTCACAATGTTTGTGTGGCCACTCGTCATAAGCTTTGTGTCTGCTTCACACCCCAGTTCCCCCCGTGTGCCAAGTACCGAGCCTGGCACCCACAGATTTCAGCAAGCGTCCATTGCACAGTGGACAGGATGGAAGGGTGGGCCCACCTGCTCTGGTAGGATGGAGACTCAGCAGGGGCAGGAGATGGGAACACTTTTAGGGGTTTTGCATGAAGACAGCTTATAAGACACAACACAGGGCATGGAACAGGGTTTCAGCAAATGGGTGCCCTCTATTGGACAGAATCAGAAATCCTCCTTTTCTCTCCCAGAAAGCATTTCCTTCTCTTCTCCCAGCACAAATGCAGTCCTCTGGAGGGCTATGCCCTTCTGCTAACCCGTCACACTCTTGGACATGGCCCACTCTTCACCCCAGCTGCCCTGGCCCACACTTTCTTGCCCGGGGTGCACTTCCTGTCCTTGGAACTCATGTATGGGTTGAGGCAGTTTCCAGGTCACTGAAAAGGTTCAGCCCCAGGTGGAAGAGGTTGATCCCTGCTGCGTCTGAACAGTCACCCTCACCCCAGGTCCCTGTGTCAGACCCTCCAGGGGATGTAAAGTCCTGGGGGCCACCCACCTGTGAGACGGCAGGCCATTCATGGCGTCTTCAAAGGCCTGATGGAGGAGGAGGGTGTCTTCACAGTTCAGGTGGATGGAGCACTGGTGATGGGGCAGCGGCTGGCCCGTGGGAGTATTGGGTGCTGCCAGGAAGTTGGGCAGCCTGTCCACAGCCACTGAGGGACCAAAGAGAGGGTCAGGCCCACCCACTCCAGGGTCCTTTCTCTAGAGCATCGCCATGCTTCCCCGGGTGGTGGATGGGGAGTCTGAAAGTGTTTCACCTTCAAACTAGGGGGCCGGGCTGGAGGGCAGGGCATGGAGGTGATGGTGTGGGTGGATTTTCCCAGACTTGAGGATTTCCCACCCAGAGAGCGTGAAAAAACACAGGTCTGCAAACTGGTGCCTCTTACCATTGATCTTGGTAACAGGAGACTGGGTGTCCAGCTGAGCAATTCTCTCTGCAAACCCCTCTGGAAGCCACTCCTGGAAGGGGAAGTCTGTGAAAGGCCTCAGAGAGCAGCCGTCCTTTCCTGCTCAGACTGGCCTTTCAACTTCTACCTCTAGAAACCCTCTTTATTCCTCAGCATTCAGTCAAAACCACCTCCTCTGCAAAGCCTTCCTGGATCCCCTTCCACTCACGCTCACCACCTCTCCTCTGCGCTCTGCCAGCTGTCCTGGGTACATAGCTCACACCTGGACGACATGGGCCAGGGCCAGGGTATGCATGCCTCTTTTCTCTCTGGTCTATAAGCTCTTGGAAGTCTTGATACCTCAGAATTGCCTTAAGATGTGTTGCACTGATCTTGGTGGAATGCTTTTAGTGAAAACACTTTAAAAAAAAAGTGGTGCTGCCCCCAGGAACAGCCCAGTAATGCTTGGGAGCTCCAAGCTCATAAACACATTATCTTCTCTTTTGGGACAAGGGAAGTGTGGCCAATTTCAATACCTTCCCTAAATCCTCAGCCCCTGCTGTGTGCACACCCCTTTTCTATGTAACTTTGTAGCATTCCACTCTGACTCTGGGCTGAACCTTGAGACTTGTTTTAAACAAAGTTATCAAATAAGATACAAAGTTATCAAACAACACCATGAGCATGATTGAGCTTGCTTGCTTTTGTCCTTGGCCAGATCCTGAGAACATGCCAGGACTGCTRTGCTGAAGTTTGAAAGACACATGAAATAGAGCTCAGTCACCCTGGTCATTCCAGCAGAAACCATCCTGGACTAGCCACAGCCGACCAGCTCCCAGGCACATGAACACGTCCAGCCCCAGATCAACAGGGCTGAATGGCTGCCCCGGGGCTGACGGCAGGTGCACAAGCAAGCCCAGATCAGTTGAATTCAACCAAGAGACTGAATTCTCCAGATCTGCAAGCTAATATTTCTTCTTATATGCCCAGCATTAATATGGCAACAGATCTCTGACAYAAGATAGTGAAATTAGAGTTGGTAAGAGGGGAGGAATTCAGAGAATGGGAAAGTTGTAGAAATAACTTTAGTTAGGAAGTCAGATCTGGGTTCCAGCACYGGCTCCTCCAATTTCCAGCTGCATGACCTAGGTCACCTCACCTCTCTGCTCTTCCTCCTCACCTCCCTGCTTGCTACCTGCCCATTACCTTCTCATTTCTCCAAATAAGGAGACTTGGCAAGTGCACCTCCTGCCCTAGGCAGCCCCCCCCCACAATTTCCTGTCCCTGTCTTGGCAGAGATCTCCACTCCTGTCCAYCCAGCACCCTGCCTCACCTGTGGGGTCAGCTTCAGGAAGGTGATCTGCGGGGACGYGCTGGACAGCACCACTCTGCTCCTCACCTCCAGGCCGTCCTGCAGCACCACTCCTCGAACGCGGCCTTCGCCATTCACCTGCACCCTAGCCACTGTCTGAAGCCCACCAGCAAGAGGTCCCAGAAACCCCCAGAAGGAAACGGCGTAGGATCAGGTGGGATTTCCACTGTCTGCACCGCTCCTGGGAGCTTCCAGCTTCCTCATCCCTGTCCCACCCTCCAAGTCTGCAGCTACTCAGGGAGCCTYCACCCCCCACCCCCAGCTTTGCTGAATGTGGTGAATCCAAAGGGTGGTCAGAGGAACTGGGACCTCGGTGACAACAGCTCAGCCACTGACAGGCTACAGAACTGTCATCTCTTGACTCTGAGCCCAGCTGTCCATTAGGGACTACCCGAATCTGAGGCCAACCAGAGGAGTGGGAGCGGGACCCTCACCTTCTCAGTGAAGATAYTTGCTCCATGTGCAATGGCCGATCTTGCAATGGCCTCAGAGAGGGCACCCATGCCACCCTGGACGTAGCCCCAGGCACCCTGGATCCCCTCCAGGCCACCCATCACATGATGCAGCAGCACGTACCTGAGGGCAGAGCACAGGATCGGTGCTGGAGGTGAGGTCTCATCTCCCAGTTTTTAGATGCAAATATCTTTCCATACCTTCAGCCTCTTCTGCCCCCATCCAGCCCTTTCCATGAGACTTCAAATGAGTTTGGAAAAGCCCTTTGCCTTCTCATCTGTGTCCCTCTCATGCAAATGTGTCTGCAGCAGAGCTTTATGCTGCTGGCATGGCAGCAATGCCCAAACCTGCCGCCCCAGCTCCTGAGCTCCGTACTGTGAGTAGCTACCCCCTGCTTCCTTGGCAGGCATCACCTCTCCMCATTCCTCAAGCTGTTTCTCCCTGATATTCCCCCACCCAGTAAACTCTGGTGTCAACCTTGACCCTTGCCAGTCCCTCACCCTCTATATCCAATTCCACTTCTGTCAACTCTTCCTTCCAAGCAACTCTAGAGGCAACTGTCCCCCAGTGCCTCGCTCTTGTCTTCCTGAAACTGTCACAGGAGGGCCCCCCCAGGGGGATCACCTTCTCCCCACATTGCTCACTAYAGTCTCCTCCATGCAGTCAACCTCAGAACCCAGCTAGTTCCGACCACTCCTCTCCTTTTAAGCGTCACTGGCTCATTGTTGCCCTTAGGGGAACACCTGCCTCATGAGGTGGCCTCAGGCCTCCCATCCTTGTCCTTCACCATGGCCCTGTGACCCACACCCCCACTGAACGGAGCCTCGAGCCTCTTTCGGTTCCTGGAATGGAGCACTCTGCTCACCTGTCCAGCTGCTGCGGCTGGCCTGGAGCCCTTCCTCCCTCATGGTTTGTTTGGCTAATTCCTCCTTGTCCCCCAGGTCTGGATCAGGAGTCTCATCTGGATCAGCAGGAGTTTCCCTGGGGGCCTCCTATCTTAACCCTCCTCCTCATCACTAGCCCTGGGTCTCTCTCTGCCAACGGGGTTTCTGGTTGTTCACTCCCCCAGCACCTCGCACAGGCACGCGCTCCATCAGCAGTTGTTGAAAGAAAGAAGGAACCAGTAACTTCAAGGCCCACTGAGCAGTCTCTAAGCAGTCTCCCCCACCACCACTCCCCAGAGAAAAGGACAGGAATCCAGCTGGAGACTGATTGGCTGGCAGATTGCAGAGCTGGGCCAGGGTGCAGCAGCTGCCGCCAGCCCTCTTCTCCCTGGCCCGGGGGGAGTTGGGGCTGGCTCAATATGTGTTGAAAAGCTACTTCCAAGGGATGCTCTTATCCCTTGAGGGAAAAAGCCACCTTGACAGCTTCTAGCTGCGTCTTCCGGTACATTGGAAAGGCTGCACTTGGCAGTATCCTCCATCCCAACCCGTGCGCATGTGCACGCTCCTCCATTCCTACTCCTACAAGGGGATCCTTAGGTCAAACCATGACCACAGCCCTCCTGTGTGTGATGCCCTCCTTGGACTGGGCTGTAGGCATGTGCCCTGCTCAGAGAGGCAGCTTCCTGTCCATAGAAGGTGCCTGTGAGTGTCTTAGAGCCCAGGGAAAAGAGCATGGCGGGAGGGGAGAGAGGGAGAAAGAGAAGGAGGGAGAAGAAGGGAAGGGCGGGAGGCAGGAAGTATGTTGATATCCTTGGGAGGCCTTTCCTAGGGGAGCACAGAGTGGTAGCCAAGGGCTCTGCTAGTTACTAGCTGTGTGACTTTGCCTATGGCACTTCCCTTCTCTGAACCACAGATCTCGGATGGAGCTCTGAGGTTCACCATGTGTGAGGTGCTTGGCTAAGTGCCTGGTTCCTGGTAGCTCCGTAAATGACAGCTTGCTGTTCTGCCCTTGTCCTTCCTGCTGGCTCTCAGCAGAGCCTCAGCTTCCTCCCGCGGCCCTCCTCCCTTGTCCCTCACCCACTGCCCGGCGTGCGAGGACTTGTCATGGCTCCAATAACAGCATCCGTTGCTAGAGTGGCTTTCAGGGGCTCAGACTCAAACCACTGATCCAGCACCTGGATGAAGAACCGCGGGAGAAGCTCTCAGGGCCTGGCTGGCAGGAGAGGTCCCCGGAGGGCGGCGGGGCCTGAGGCGGGAGCTGCTCACCTTGGTGATGGGAGCTGTGAACACCTGGTAGTACTGGGGAAGCTGAGCTCCCAGGGTGCGACCTGAAAGACAGGAACCCCAAAACGTCAACAGAGACGGGCTGTGAGGAAACACTCTGGTCTGGTCCCAGGCGATGGATGAAGGGATGGCAGGAGACTGAGATCTGCCAACGGCGGGCAGTGCAGCGGGGTGGATGCTGGCTATGATTTCCTCCCTTACCAACTGCACGGCCTTGGACACAGGTTAACATCTCTGAACCTGTTCCTCCATCTGTAAAATGGGAGTCATGTCTCACACCCCAAAAGGCTAGCTGAGGATTCAATGAGACAGGCAAAGCATTGGCAAGTTCAGGGGCACTGATTTTATTTAGCACTTAGTACTACTTTAAAAAAAATTAACCTGTACCTTATTCTCTTACTTTGAACTCTGTAAGGCCCATACCCTGGGAGAGGACCATTCCTATGACCAATTCAGAGAGCCACTGGCCAATAGTCCTTGAAGGCAGAGATCATGGTCTTAGCTATTGTGGTCCCTGTGTGCAGCTTGGTGTCTGACAATAGTAGTTGCTCAATAAATGTTTATTACACAAAAGTTTATTGTTCAAAACTCCTTGGGCTGGAAGTCTGAAAGGAACATCTACTTTKGGGGCATGTAGGGTAGATTGTCCCTGTATCTACACTCTGATGTATAACTGCAGTTCCTTCTACCTACAGCTGGTTTGACCTGAGCCTTGACTCCAGACTTATTCATGTGATTTGCTTGGCCAATGGCATGTCTGTAGATAGGACACAGAGGCTTATAACAGGCCTGGGAACCAGGAATCAGCCCCATGTGGTCTTCCATTGATATAAGAAGTGCATACCCAGACTAGCATGCTGCYACCATAAGGAGGATGAGACACCTGAGGCCCAGCTTCCCATGATGACCTGTCCCAGCCACAAGCACATGCATGAAATCAGACTGGATCAGCTGACCCAGCTGGGATGAGCTGAACCACACATGCCAGGGAGAAAAAAGGGTTTATTTTTAAATGCATGCCACAGGGGTTTTATGGGCTTTCCCCCCTTGTGATCATAACTAACTGATTCAGTACTTTTCTAGGAACACTGACACTAACTTGGTCTGTATATCCTACAGGGTCACAGTAAACAACAGCACACTCTGTGGACTGTCCCTTCTCATACCCATGGCAGACATTACTAATTCATCACAGAACTTCTCCTGGCTGCACTCAAACCTAGTATCCAGCTTTTGTGGAGACAGTTCTTTATATTCTCTTGGCCCCTCAATCTTACTCCAGCCACAGCAGGATAAGCACCTTTTGCAGCTTTGATCAGCTTCACACACTGAAACCCCAGCAGCACATGTCACCTCGGTCCTATAAAGTGTGCTGCTTCATTTATTCCCTGGGCTCCTTTGGTACTATGCTAGGTCACCCACTGACCTGGACATCCTAAGGGGCAACCCTTGACCCTGGGGGACAGAGCCTGCTGGATAAATCWCCCTTCCTTCTCCAGGAATGGTCCTCAAATGCATCTCACAGAGGGTCCAGGCAGGTCCAGTGCCTCGTTGCCCATCGTGGTGGCCAGGGCAATGACACACCCTGGCAGTGGCTCTCCCTTGGTCCAGTTTCATTCCTCCTTTCCCCTAGTTTGGGGCCCTGGGGCCACATTTCTAAATCAGCTACTTGTATTTAGGCCTTTGTCTCAGGTTCTAAGGGCACATCAGCCTGAGATCTCAGTAAAGTGCTTGGGGCAGTCCTAATGGCCTTAACCCGCCACCACTGGCAGGCTGCCATGGCGGTTCAACCTTCTGTCCAGGCATCAAGAACATGACCTCTCCTCCGTGAAGGCTACTCCTCCTGCCCCGAAGCCTGCACTCGGGACTCACCAGCCTTCAGCAGGGGCTTGAGGGTGGACAGTGACTTGAGTCTCTGCAGCACGGAGCCGCGCTGGAAGGCCACTGTGTCCACTGGGGCTGCGTCCAGCAGAGGGTCGATGGCCGATACCAAGCGATTCATGAACTCCTCGTATCTGGGAAAGGCCTGGAACAGAGATCTAGGTCAAGGCTTCACTGTGTGGAATCCCATGAAGATATGGTTCTCACACTCTGCCCCACACCATTCCTACATCGATRCTGCACTCCACAGAGGAGCCCGGATGCTTCCACAGGCCTCAGCCCCTGTCGTGGCTCAGCTTGGCTCTGCTGGGTCTACCCACTTCTAGGTCTGAGAGTTGAGGTCAGTGCCAGGTGGGCAGTAGGAGAGCCACCGAGGACAGGGTCAGCGTGGGCCAACACCAGCCACGGGAAGCTGGCAAGTTGCTCAGGGTCTGGGCTCTGTGATAAAACCACAAAGAAGCTTTGCTCTCTGTCCTTCTGTCCTTCCACATGTGACTGGTAGAAGTTAGACCTCTTCCCCAGAATCTCAGCACRCCGTCTGCTCTCTCGTGGCCCCCATCAGACTGACATGTCGCCTCTTCCTGCGTCCTCTTTCCTCAAGCTCCCACACGGAACCTATTGTCCACGGCCAGTTTCTGACTCCCACACGCCCTTCGCTGGACAGGCGACAGGGCAGGGGCAGACGCCCAAGCCGCCAGAGGCCTTCTCTTGATTCTCAGCCCAGAACTTTTAATTGGGGCTCAGCTGTACCCATGGGCACACACATGGACTTTAAGTGTCACATAAAGAAAGGTTCCGTGTTGAGGAACATTTGAGAAGTCTTGGTAAAAATGAAATTAAACACCCTTCTCTAGGACAGACCTTTAAGATGACAACTTGTAAAACCAGAAATCAGGCTCCTTAGGTTCCACAATGGGAGACAGGCCCTGGTCTCCTGTTTATGTGGTCATTAGAAGGCAGAGCCTCCACCAGTGTCCTGCAGGCCCAGGGACCAGGCCTTGTGCTGACTCCTGTCTAGTGCATCTGAGGCGAGCAGGATTTGGAGGGTGGAGGCCCTGGTCCTGAGCCCGCTGCACAAAAAGATCCAAGAGAAATACTCTGAAAAAGCTAAGTCCCCAGGAGATCCTGCTCCTYCACCAGATTTGGAAAGCACTGGTTGGAGAGATGTGTATTGGGCCTGTGGCCCGTGGTTCTCTAGATTTTACCCCGTGTTTCATGAAAGCCACAGAAAGCAACACACATGGATGGCATTCACCTAGGTTCTTATAAAAATGCCTCCACCAAGATGGATTTAATGCTACACCTTTAGCTTGTATGCAGGATGGGTACAAAAGTGGCCAGAGTTCCTTTCTGTGTCCACGGAACCTGTCACACCAGGCTGTCCCATCATCTAGTGACTCACGTGAACAAGGCTGCCCAAGAATTCCTGTGCAGTAATCCCAAGAGACTGCACATTCTCTGGTGTGTGTGCTTCCTTCCCCAGACCTGCGCACCCTCATGGACGCTTTCTGCCTGGAGCGCCCGGGATGAAGCCAAATTGAACGATATTGACTCCAGCCCTCCTGACGCAGTCCAGTCGGTTCTGAGTGATCTCTGATCTGCCCGTCAGCCTCCATCKCGACTTTAACATGGATAACCACTTGGGTTACAAAGTACACCCACACACAGCAGGTGGAGACGGTCTGACCCCATACTGAGCACAGGCAGGTTCAAGAGCTGGCAGTGTCCACTGGTCTCAAATGCCATCCTCCGTCCCTTTCCTTCACAGCCTGAGATCACAGGCAAGTGCAGACTGGAGCCCTCCTCAGGGAAGGCAAGGCAGCCCGTCTACTTGGACATGGCTCTAGGATGGCTCCAACCAGACCCATTTCCTTTCTAAAGCCCCCTTCAGGCTGGCGAGGGAGGAGGAGCCGGGTCTCTGGACACCGTCCTTACCTGGGCATCCTTCTGTGAGAACTGGGCAATTTGCTTCTGGTTTTGTGTCATGTCTGTTCCCAGAAGAAGGGATCTGGGCACGTGGCCCCCTGTGCCCTCTTCCAACATGGGGGTGAAGGAGTAGGGATTTCGGAGATGAAGCCTCAGTCCATGTTTCTGCAGAATACAAACAACGCAGGCAACATTTTAGAGGTCTGTGGTCTCCGTCCCCAGTCTCCTTTCTCCAACTGTGTTTGTGAGACCATTTAGGTGCCTGTGGGCGGGTTCCCAAGGTATGTGATCCTGGATCCCATTTTTTAAAAAAATATAGGTTTATAAAAGCCCTCTTGCTCAGGCACGCAAGAAGACCATACGGTATCGCACATGCACCATCTTGCCATACGATACCACACCAGAGCCCAGCACACCTCACCAATATGCCACACCAGAGCACAGTATGCCATACCTTGCTACATCAAGCTGCACCATATCATGCTTACCCTGTGCCAGAGGCAGTGCTGGGGTCTACAATTACTACCTCACAACAACTCTGGCGGTATTCTTATCCTCTTTGGTACAAATGCCATAACCGAGGCTCAGAGAAGTTAAATAACTTGTCTCAGGTCCCTGTAGGAGGCAGATCTGGGTTTCCAAACCACATCTCTGTGACTCCCAGGCCCTGGCTCTCAGCCCTAATCTATAACTGTCCCACTTCAGAAATAAATAATTAAAATTTAGAAAGACACAATAAAGCAATGGTTATGTGAAAATCCATAGGCACAAGGTAGATAAATTATTTACACCCAAAATTTTTATTTACTTTACAGACTCATTTACTCCAGGGTCACTTTAAATGGAAGTTGCCTTGATGCAGTTAAAATATGATTTGATTTAGAGGGGCTTGACCAGCACACAGAACTTTCTAAGAGCACATCTACTTCTCCATAGATACAACAAAGAGGCCTGGGCTACTAACACAGGCTTACCGTGGCCGCCATCTACAGACTTCTTTCTCTAGATCCACGGCCTGTCTCCTCACTTCTTTGAAGATCTCTGCTCAAGTGATCCTTATGAGCAAGGGCTCCCCTAACCATGCCAGCACTTCCTGTCCCATCTCCCTGCATTTTCTTTTTCCAAAACACTTGTCAGCACATGGCTAATTATACATTCAATTTTTCTTCACCTCCCACAGTAGAATGAGGTCAGGGGCATTATCTGTCTTGCTCACTATTATGTCCACCAGGTATAGATTCAGTGTAGTCACTAAGTGTGCTGTTGACTTGAGTGGATGAAAACTATATCTTGCAGGTAAGGTGTAGCTCCAGGAGACAGAAATGAGATCTGTGAGTAGAAGTATTAGGACAGTACATGGAAACTAGAACAGACCTTCCTGACCACTATAGCTGGTGTGGCTTCACACCAGAGACCTTCCAGATGGACAAGATCCCCAGGCATTGAGCATGCTGCCCAGGAGACTCTAAACATGGCTAGGAGTTTGGGTTGGGACACCTTTGGGTCCTTTCTAACATTAAGATAGAGAAATTGGATTCCAAGTTGGAGGAACTTCCAGCTTGGTGCTTCTTAATGTAGAGAACTTGACCCTAGAGGGCATCCTGAGTTCCTCTTCTTCCCTCCCCCTTGACTTCCTATCCACAGCCAAGTCTTATCAGCTCCATCTGCAGAAGTTGTCCACTTCCCTCTATGTCTGTTGCCCCTGGCCCAAGTCGCCATCTTGTGAATCACTGTAGGAGCTGCCTCAACCACCAACCTGCAACCCGCCTCTGCCATGATCCAGGGGACTGATCTTTCACAGGGTCATAAATCCCATACTCTCCTTCCTAATTAAATGCCTCCACTGGTTTCCCCCTGCACCTGGGTTAAATGCAGTCCCCTCCTCACAGCCGCGGTAGTCACACACCTGCCTTCCTCTCAAGTCTGCCTTGGCCTGTCCACTCCCACTTCCCTCTGCCTAGAACTCTCTCTGGTCCACAAGGCACAAAGCTGGTGACTTCTTGACAGTAGAATGTCAGTTCCCAGGTCACCTCCTCAAGGAGGAGGTCCTGCTCACCAGTCTAGGCTGGGAGCTCCAGCCTGTCCCTATCACATGGCTTCACTTTCTTCCTGCCACTTACCTCTACCCGGAGTTCTCTTGGGTCCTTGTCTCCCTCCCTCGTTCACCCCACCCAGCCCATGTCTCCCAGGGCTTCTCCAGGCTGTGGCTCAGAGCAGGTGATTAGGAACACTGACTGGATGAAGGAATCCATCAACCCTCCACATAAGGGACCCGAGAGGAGCCCAGGAGTTATTTCAAGTATAACTAATCAAAAATGAACATTTTTTTGACTGCCTCTAGGACACTCTTAAAAAATGGTATCTTTGGGGGCCTGGGGCTGTGGCTCAGTGGTAGAGCCTTGCACGTGTGAGGCCCTGGGTTCGATTCTCAGCACCACATAAAAATAAATAAAGGTATTGTGTCCATTACAACTAAATATTTTTTAAAATGGTACCTTTGTTGTTCTTGATGGTTTTAATTCCATGGAGTTGAAATAAGAAGGGGAGCATTAAACAGCCATGAGATTATCTCCATGAGATTTTTTTCAAGTATCCAGTTTTCTTTAAAAAYACAAATAAAACAAGAACAGACTACTTCCTCTGGTTTACCCATGAGTTTTCTCAGCAGGCCAGCTGTCCCAGGTGGGAACTGTTGGGGAGGTCAAGGTGTGTCTGAGACATCATGGACAAGGGGGACTTATAGGTTTGTTTCTCTAAGAGGTGTCTGGTGGCTTCCTCTTTCACAACAACCTGAGACTGCTACAAAATGCCAGTTCCCAGGCCCCACGACTCCTACAGCACCAGGCCTCTGAGCAAGAACCCCTGGGCATCTCTTTTCCCCTTTAGTTCCCCCGGTCATTCTTCCAGACATGTAGGTCCAAGAGTYCCACTTTAGGGAGATTTCCCAGAATAAAGCACCAGCAGAGGGAACAGAGCTGAGACCTATGGAAGGGAGGAAGGGAGGTCAGAAGTTGCCGCTGGTCCCCAACATCTGCCTCCATCAACTATGGGTACAGTCACAAACTGCCTCCAGTTGTAGTGTGGTGTGGGCTGAGGATCCCAGACACACCCTTGGGCCTTGGCTAAATTTATCCAGTGCTGGCCTGAGGGTGCTTACATTCTTTCTCTCAAGTAATAATTTCTTCATTTGGGTTTCTATAGTCACCGAACTCACAGAACTCCTCTACATGAACCAGTTACAGAAGCCAAGGGGTGTAAACAGCGGCTGAGCATCTAATTAATTTTGAACTTTGAATTCAGAGCAAAGTTGGCACTGAAGTACACGGCAGCTGCTCGTACACATGACACCAAGGACCTTTTTCCTGAGGGGTGGGTGACAGAGGCACTAGCAGGTGGGAGCCAAGTCAGCCTCAGGAACTTGGTGGCTTATGAAACAGGCCATGAGAGGTGGAGCCTGTGAAGGGTAGTGGGCAGAGCTGGACAAGCCAGGGGAGAATTCTCAGGATCTCCTCCAGATAGCCCAGGAACTGAAAGGGGTGAAAGTCCAGGTTCAACGTCCTGTTCACGCTGCCAGGCTCCAAAGTTTAATAAGGGTGGAAACAAGGCCCAGTCTAAGGTGGCTTTGCAAACTCAGGAGCCGAAAGCTTTAGGCAGGTGATGCCAGAAGATGACAGGGACCAGGCTGAACRTGCCACCAGGTAGAACAAGGGCCTGATGCTGACAAAGCTCAGTCTTCAAACGAGGTCTGAGTTTTGTGTGAGATTTCTGAGTTTTTAAGACGTAGGGTGGGTGACACAATCTATGGCATGCAGCAGAAGATCCTGGGGGTGGCCAACCCTGGGACAGAAGGAATCTCAGGCACTGGGAATCACCCTGGGTACAAGGTAGGGAGCCCCTGCCCCCCGCCAGGGAGATGAGAGGTGATCACAACCACCCATCCACCACGGCCACAGGGCTGTTCTACCTTCAGCTCCAGGTCTGTGTAAATCTGTGGCCTCAGAAGGCTGAGGAGGTAGGATGCACGGGAGAACTTAAACCCTGGAACAAAATCAGAAAAACCAGTCACCAGCGATCACTCCTCAGCCCCTCCCACCTCTTGGGGCTCACCTGGAATGATCTCCTCAGTGACTGCTGCACCCCCAATCACATGGCGCCTCTCGAAGACCGCCGTGTTCACCCCCAGTCTCTGCAGGTATGCTGCCTGGGGGTCACATAAGGCCCTCTCTCATCCCTCTGGAACATCCAAGATCCCTGGGGGCTGCCCCATGGTCTTGGGGTCCTCAGTCCAGAGCCAACACACCACCCTGTGGCTCATGCTGTTCAGATGTCTTCCAAGGCCTGCTGGCTTGCTCCTGCCCCTCCACATCCCAGCTGAAGGTGACCTTCTCTCCTTAGAAGGCTGGTGTCCTAGGAATTCTCGTCACATCCTACTTACCCTGTCCCAGATGTCCCTCTCCTCCAGGCTGGAGAAAGCCTCCTTGCCCTTATAAGCCCAGTGAGAGGTGGGCACAGTGAAGCTGAACTTGAGAATATGAAACCAAACCCCAGGTTCAACTCTGCATCCCTTTCTGCTGGCTCAGCCTCAGTACCTGATCCATCCTGTCTCAGTTTCTACATGTGCAAAAATGGGGTTGATATTATAGGACTGACTCTACCTATCTCATAGGGCTGCTGCGAGGATTCCCTGAGCTGGTCCCTGGCACAGGAGACACACAATAACTGAAGCTGTGTCTACAGCAGAACTTTATTGGGGGCAACAAATGATGCAAGGGTTTCTGTTACTTTTCTTCTCACATTTAGGGGGAAATCAATAAATATTTGCTGAACTGAGCTAGTCCTGAGCCTACAATCCTACAGTGCTCGTCTTCCCACTACCTCTAATACCAAGGAATGGTGAAGTTCAGAAGTCACCATCCTTGGTTCACTGGGCAACTATGTGCCAGACATCAGATGCACCTTATTACAGTCCACCATCTTGGAGGTAGGCACAATGGTTCTCCCTTTTTTACAGATCAGAAAACTGAGGCTCTGTGTGGTTAAGCTTGAATCCAGCTCCCAGAGCATGACATCTGGAAGCTGCCTTAACATGCAAGGGTAAGCCATGTTATTCTCCAATTAGACATAAGCTACTTCACAGAATGGCCTGAAATAATTACTGGGAGACTGTGACAAAATGACAAAATGTTCTCTGCACAATTTTGTTTAAGTACAAACAAATCCAAGGTCTCCGTGTCATCCACAAAATATGAAGTGCCCCTCTCTTGGCCAGATTGAGTGACTGCTACTTCCTTACCAAATTTCAATGTCCTCATCTCAGTCTCTGCTCCCTACAGATAAGAGGTACTGGAGTTCCCAGTCAGAAAGCTGTCCTTACTTTCTGACAGTGTCTAACCTACAAGGTGGGGSCTCTGACTCCAGATCCTTATTTTCTCAGGCCTTTTCCCAAGTCATCCAACCAAAGCTCAAATCCTCTATTAGGTTCTTTCTAACACCTTGCTGAGACACCCCAMGGTTCTCCCTCACTGCCAAGAGTAATCAAGACGGCTTGATTAAGCCCAGGTGCATTTCTGGTGGTCTTTGGCTGAAGGGCATTGACATTAGCCCTCCCTGGGCTGGAAACTTCCGATAGTAAGAGCTAGCATTCAGGTCAAGTTTTATGTGCCAGGTCCCTGCAGCACATTAACTATTGCCTTCACAAATGGCTTCTTGAGGGTAGGCACGGCTGTTCTCATTTTATGTGGCTCAGAGAGGCTGAGTGACTCACTTAAACCTTGACAGATAGAAAGTGACAGAGCTGGGAGACAAACCTGCACTTACATTAATATCAAATCAGTGTTTAAATTACCGATCGGTTGAGCTGCAAAGGGTCCCCTGTAGAATGTTCAGGTAAAACTGATATGTTGTTTAAGGTATTAAGGTCTTACCGTAGTCCCTGGGCACCCCCTTTGTTGATACTTTAGAGCTGCCACTGCTTAAAGAAGAGGTTCCATATTTGTTTTATGGCCTTGAAGACTCTCAAAGGCCTCTTGGAAGTACCTGGACTCAGGGTTTAGAAGCAGAGCCCCAGAGTGACTCTGGCCTGGCTGAGCTTGGGATCAGAGGACACCTGCTGGGTACATGAGCCCTGGCCTCTCTGCTAGGGAGCTCTTGCTGTCACTTGGAGATGCAGTAGCAGTGTGCTTCAGGTTGTGGGTCACCTGAACCTGTCCCAGCAAGGACTACCCCCTAACCTGGAGTCAGAGGCCCCACCTGCCTCATGCTCCTGATCCCCAGGGTCCCACCTGCTCTCYCTGTGCCAGATAGACGTTTCCCCACATTTTCACCAGCCTGCTTCTGAAGCTCCCTGACTCTTCCACAGGCCACGGGTGGGGTCCCAAGTATTATGGAAAGGACAGGAAAGGGAGCCCATGATATCCTCCCTGAGTGGCTGCAGATACACATTCAACCCAGCTCCTGGTCGGCACCAGAGCACGCTTCTTTCCTCTCTCCTGCCACCTGCTCGCTTCTCCCTGTGGCTGCTGAGAGCCACAGGCTTTAGGGTCAGTGCAGTGGGACCCAGGGAAGATACTCACAGCCACCAGCCCATTGTGTCCTGCAATGAGAGGGGGGAGGGGAGGACAGATCACTGGTCAGCTGGCAGATGCACATCCCTTGAGGGAGAGGGACCCATCTCTGCCCCACCCAGGTAGATCCCTGATGGCCCCACCCACTGAACTGGGTGGAGGGATTTGCCTGATTTGCCCTGACTTGAAAGAAGTGCTGCCCCCTGGCTCTGCCGATGGCTCCATGCTGGAGTGAGGGTCAAGGAGAGAGTCACGGTCACAAGGGCTTCCATCACTAGGCAAGGAGCAGGTGACCGAGGGAGCAGCATAGTTCACATGGTGGGGACCGGAAGCAAAAGAAAGGTGGCCAGTACGCTTTTGCACCTGGAATAACTGACCAGCCACCCAGGTGAGCACTGCTCAGGGGCAGAGTTGCTGTCAAGTTTGGCCTAAGAAGGCTTTATCCACACAGGATGTCCCTGTCAGTCTCATGCTCTAAAAATGAAGTTTGAATAGTTAAAAATGAAGTAATCAAACACACTCAGCTACTACGGGTGTGTGCCTCAGTGTTAGCTGGCTGGGGGAATTTGTTACCTTACTTTTTTCTAAAAAGATTTCTAAAATCTTAGGAGGGCTGCCCCTGGCCATGAGCCCTGAATTTGGCTTTGGGATCTCGTGTTCCCCACCAAGTGGGTGGTGAGTGCAGCTCTAAGTAGCTCAGAATCACCCGGCAAAAGTATGGATTCCCAGACCTCCCCTCCTCAGAGCGTCCTTCAGCAGGTCAGGGAGGGCACGTGTGTGCGAGAGCTGATTCCTCATTCAATCCCAGGTAATTCCCACCCAGGTGACCTSAGATCCACATGTTGAGCACACAGGCCCTGGGGCCTGCCTCCTCCTTTCCCCACTCTTAGGAGGAAATGAGGCTGTTGATGAAGAATCACTTGCAGGCAGAGAACAGGCCCCAGTGGTTGTCCGCCAGCTCCTGTGACCCCCAGTCTATTCTCTCCTTGGTGACAGTCACCACTCTGAGTCTTTTAGATGTCAGTGGATGACCATGATCCTGAGCACYGACCTGAATCCAGTGTTGACTCAAATGAACTGCTCAGCTGTTAGCCTGGCAAATGTCCCTAACCAGGGGCAGCGATGGCCCATGTGATGTATCTCCTCATGGCTGAGTCAGTTGCTTTATGGAGGCCTCCCAGGATGTGAGAGGTCACAACTGCATTCTTACCATTCCTAATGGAACCTGGGCTTTTCAACCCCCTTTGACTATGATCCACAGGAAGAATCTGACAACATGATCTGGCACATGCCACATGAGTAAATGCATTTCACAGCAAAAAAGGTTTCATGTACTAATACTAACTCTCACTGTGTGATAAGCATGTGATGATCTATTTGGTTATATTTCATTTTAAAAAGCACTGGAAAATTGCCATAAGAAAGTTTAAAAAATATGCTGGGACTTATAAATATTGCCTGAACCTGTAGTTTCAGAAGCCCTTCTCTTAATACACAAAGCAAATTCAAGAAGGCAGGCTGTCCGGGGCTCAGCCCAGCTCTGCCATTGACAGAGAGGCATTTAGCAGCCAGGAGGTGAGGCAGAAAGGGTGCTGGGGATCTTGCCGCAGTGTGGGCAGGATGACCAATAATATCCATAAAGCACCTGGCCTTTCGAAGGCCCACAATAAATACAACAGCTGTTCGCCTTTAATTAGTGGTGCTCATCAATTCTGGAAAACTAATCAAGTCTTCCAGGCAACAGAGTCCAGTCCAGCAATGGCGTGTAAACTCCCAAGGGCACAGACCCAGAAGGATGAAGGCCCAGGAAGACCCAGAGTTCCAGAATTGCCCCCTCCCCCATCCTGGATGCATTCTCCTATGGCTTCAGATGACCTGTCCCCTTGAAGGGTCTTTTGCTGCAGGCTCAGGGAACCCCTAGCCACTTCTGGGGATCCTCAGGTAGCAGGTGTGTGGGACTTATATGAGCTGACCTGAGCACAGGCTCTGTGCTGCTGGCATCAGATTTGCTCAGCRTTGGTGGGCAGATGTGCTGATGGCTGGGAGCACCCCCTCCCCCCTCCGCCAGCCCTAATCACCAGCTACAAAGCGCAGGTATCTGCATTGTAACAAGCTCCTCAGGGCATTCTTAGCTACTGGTAGTCAAATGACAAAACCCGGGTCTCTTTGAGGTGATGGCCAGGCATGACTTCAGGGACTCAGATATAACTCTCATCTCAGAAGATGCTACTCTGCTCCTCACTCAGTCTGGAACGCCCCTAAATCAGGTAACTGAAGCCACCTCACTGAGGCAGTCACACTGTGGGAGAGTCACCAAGGCAGCTGGCCCATGGGAGTCAGAGGGGCTGTGACCAAGAGCTGAGGGGAGGAGGGGCTTTGGGGAGGCTCAGAGGACACAGAGCGCTTCCCGTGGGTGCTGGACTCCAGGAAGTTTGTGAGCCCACTATCAAACAGACCATTGTGAAAAATTAAATCCTATAAAATAGTATATTCCTATTAAATATACTAAAAGCGATCGCAAAACTACTTAAAATCACCACTTTCATTTTGCTACACTGGCCTATAACTATGCTCTTGAGGTCACCTGCCTCTACATGCCTGGATGTGGCCTGCTACTGTATGTCTCCCCTAAGTCACATTCGGTGACCTCCCAAGGGTGGGACAACATGGGAGGACTTATACATGGGACACGGCAGGGCTTGATCTACTGTGCTGTGGACTGGCAGGCTCAGGAAAAAGATGGGAAAATGCTAACAATGCAGTTGGAATTTAATGGAATGCCTGTCGGTGGCGTTACATTGGGAATAAACAGCACCAAACATGGAGAAGATGTTCTTCCAGTATCAGAAAAAAATATTATCTGACCGAGCAAAGTCCTGAAGGAATGAAGCTGGGACATAAATCTTCACTGTTTCACTTCTCCCCCCATTTTTGTTCTACTCTTCAAAGTGAATGAAAACATCAAGCATCCCTTTCCAAGCTATGACCACTCCGGAACTGCGACCACAGCTCGGCAATTGAGTTTGGCAAAAATCAGAGAGTACTGGATCAGAATCAATTGGCCACATGGACTTTTAATTAAGAGCACTGTCTTCTTGATTTTTAGAACTGTGTGCTACACATTTTTTAATTCAGTATTTACAGTAAATGTGTGTATGTGAACACTTGTTCCCTGGAGAGCGGACGGAGGCTTTCACCAGCTCATGGCTGCTCTTGGTAACAGAGACCAGGCCCAAGCAGAGAGCACCTTGGGACTGTGCCCAGCACGGATCCTGGGCATCTGCATCGCATTGAAATGAGCCCAGTTGGAAATAATGCCTTCAGGCCTTCTGAGAGTGTGAACAGGTCACCCAGTCACACAGCAGACTTGAGTACTCTGAGGCTAGGGTCAGCAAAGTGTCACAGGACCACACAGCATGTCCCCAAATGTTTGAGAGGAAAACATGGCTGTCATCCTCTGTGGACATACAGTAGGGTCTCTGGGATTCAGTTCTGTTTTTCTCTTAACTCCCCTTTGTGAAGTGATTCTGGTTTCCTTTAGGGATGGSTGACCTCAATGGTGAGGTAGTGGTGACATTTGCTGTTGTCCCAGGGTTCTTTCTATTCAATGAACCATGATTTCCAAGAACGTGGTGAGAGCTAGCTCATTAGTTCATCTAGCTGGAGACAAGGGAAGCTTCTGCACTCACCTAATGCCACTCTAGGTGACAAGACTCAAGCCCAGAAAGGCAAGAAATTTTTTCCTAGACCACACAGCAAGCCATCGGCAGAGTCAGCACTAGAACGGAGAGGAGCCTTACTCAGAGACCAGAAGGTCTTCCCTCACAGCCCCGGCTCTCATCCAAACTCGTGACCAGGTTGTGCCCACAGTGAAGGGAGAAGTGGGGTTCTGCAAAAGGGCCTCTCCGGGCCTCTGGGCAGCGCTGCCTTCCCGCCTTCTTTACCTGCTCCTATCACCACCGCATCGTACTCAGGCCTCGGGCGTCCGCCAGCTTCCCAGTGAGCATGTCTCCAAGCGGGGCAGCGAGAGGCACCCCAGGCCCTACCGAGACCCCGGCCCCTCGCAGCCATTTCTGCCTCCAGGAACCCGCTGGCGGCCCGCCCTTCGCGCCGCCCCAGGCAGCGGGGGCAGTGGGGAGGCGGAGGGGAGGAGCGCCGCTGGCCTGGCCACGGCCCCGGCAGGTCCTCCTCGCGCTGCGTCTGCGCAGGGCAGCCCCGGGGCGTTGCCTGGGAACCCCGAGGAGTCGGTGCAGACTCAGAAAKCGAGGACCCGCAGACAGTCCCGAGGGCTCTCGTGGGCGGGGCGCTGGGCTGGACCCGGCGGACCCCGCTTCCCCGGCTGTCACCGCGTGCCCTGTCGGGATTGTGGGGATGGCACAGCAAGTGGGAGAGGGACCCTCCAGTCTGTCCACCCCGGCGCCTGGACCTCAGGCTTCAGGGTGGAGTCACAGTCGGAGGTAGGGACAGTTCCCCACCCAGGAGAGCCTCGGGCCACCTTTAGCAGGAGGCCTTCAGCCAGCTGCACAGAAGGTACAGGTCTCCTAAACACCGGCCACTGAACAGGCTGCTGCGGTCTGCTCCACTTAGGGCCAGGTTCACTGTAATTCTTGGGGYTTGCCTTTTTCTTCCTAAGGTCTGCACATTTCTGTTGGCATCTTTCCCATTTCTCAAGAATCCTCAAGGGTTAAAGTTCACATTTGCAAATATCCTCAGCTGAAGTGCTTTCTTACTGTCCCTTTGGGCTGTCTTCAGTCAGGAGCCCCTTTCTTCCTTGGCCACTCCTCCCCAGATGGTCCCCTGTAGGCAAAAGGCTCTTGCACTAGTCTCACCCTGCTTCACAGGAGCCTGCTACTAAATGACTCTCAGAACCAGAAGAGGAAAGACCGTCCCAGTAAGSAGGCTTTCTAAGAACCCTTCTCTCACACAGGTACCCCTCTACACACAACCAAGGTTCACACTGTGTGAATCTGCTAAAATCTGATTCAGGATATATGCCCCAGTGTTTTAATAATAGTTTCCCCCTCCCCATCTGTAGGTTCCACATCTATAGACTCAATCAGCTACAGATTGAAAATATTTGAAAAAAACTGCATCTGTACTAAACATGTCAGACGTTTTTGTTACTATTCCCTAAGCAATAAAATATAACTATTTACACTGCATTTACATRGTACTGGCTATTGTAAGTAATCCAGAGATGATCTGAAGCGTAGGGGAGAACGAAGGTTACCAGCCAATACTGCATCATTTTATTTACGAACTTGAGCATCTGCAGATTTTGATAGGCTGCCTGTGCACCTGTTGTCAGRGAGTCCTGGAGCCAATCCCCTGTGGATGACTGTACAGAACAGTCAGCAGATTGGCTCAACCAGATACTTCACATCATGTACAGGCTAAAAATCAAGGGAAAACATTAATTTTTTTTAAAGTAGGTGTCTTATACAGTGGTGGGCTTATAGGCTAAGTTCTTTTTCCTTTGTGCTCTTCTGTATTTTCCACATTTGATATTTTTAATTCTCACCCATAAAATCACGATATTAAGGAATACAGATCAGGTTGTCTCTGGGACACTGTCCTCACGCCTCCTCATAAGGACTCTAACCCTCAGTGCCTCTGTCCTCCCCAAAGCAGTTCCCTGCAAGGGAAAGACCAGTGTCCTTCACAGAGTTTCTGCCCAAGACTGAGATGCAGAAGGCTGGGCTCCTGCCCGCACACCAGGGTGTCCTTTGCTTCTGGGGTGGATGCTTATTTCTGCCCTGCCACCTCTCTCAATCCAATGCCTCCTCTTTGCCTGAGGAGCCCACACCTGTGTCCCAGTGTTCATCCTGTGGTAAGAATCTCTTGGTTAGAAGAGAGGGGCTGTACCCCTGGGAAGTGGGTTCAGTCTGGGGAACACCAGATTACCTGAGGAGCTTCTAGAATCATCAGTCTTGACTTTACACTGAGCACATGAATCTGAATCTCTGGGCCAGGGTCTGGAGCCGAGAACTACAGCCCTAGGGAGAAGCAAGCCCGGCATGGAGGAGCCAGACCCTAGCAAGGTTTCTCAGTATTGACAAAAGGGTCCTGAAGCACAGACATGCTGGGCTTGGAGGATGACAACAACCGACATTTATTAAGCACCTATCATGTGCTGGGTGACCCTCCCAGCCACCTGAGGGGGGATGTCATTACTTGAAATGTGGGGGAACAGCGTTGAAAATGCCCCGAGTTGCAGACGAGGCTACAGAGCTGGAACTCAACCAGCCAATGGCGCACCTTTTATCTGGGGCAGAAAACAGGCTTTTCTGCTCAGAACAGCAGAGGCAGAGGGGGGTCTTCAGACAGTCTGAGCATTAGGATCTTCCTCCCTCTCTTCTGGGGACAAGTGGGGATGCAGCTCTGAAAGAGGAGCTGCTGCGGTCTCTGACCTCACAGTCACCACTGTTTTAAAGAGGAAGCCCAAAGCCTCTGCCTCCAGAGGGCAGGATTTAGGGGTTTGTTCACCACCCCGTGTGGAGGTGGTCCAAGTGGGGTGTGATAAACCTTGGGGCCTCCTCGCATCCTCAGGAGGCTACTGGGGACAGAAGAAAAGTTTCTGCTATGGGGGGGCACTTTTGCAAGCAGGGATGGCTGCAGAACAGGTGCCCTGGCAGCAGCCTGCAACCTGGCCTAGGGCAGGGGCACACGAGAGGCCTCCCCCAGGCGCCGGGCGAGCTGGCTGGCCTGTTGCACCAGCAGGTTGGTGGGGATGACTGACAGGTGCAGGGCCAGCAGCTCGTAGCACCTGATGGCCTCCGTGGGGTGGCTCTTGCTGTAGTAGCGAAGGAGCTTCCTAAGAGGGAAAAGGAGGACAAGGACTCAGGAGTGAGCGATGACAGTCCTCCCAGGCCAGGGGCCTCTTGGGCCACACAAGCACCCGGACACCCACCCTTGGTCCTCTCACTAGGCCCGAGCACCAGGCCGGTGATTCTGTCTCCTGCTCCTTATGACCTAAGCTTCTAGGCTTAGCCCCAGGTCATGGTCCCTTCTTCAAGGTCCTCCCTCCTCAGCCGGTTGCATTCTAATTAAGAGGTGTCAGCAGGGAAGTTCTGGGTCCACAGGGAGGTCTCCCTGTGCTACCAAGACTGTGCCGCATCAGGGTGGGTGGGCTCGAGGGGGCTCTCCTGGTGCTTCCTCCCTCACAGGTTGCTGTGCCAGCCCCAGCCCAAGTTTTTAGCTTCTTGGGGTGGAATGGGGCAATTCTGGAGGAACTGTCCCCACTGGGATACCCTAAATCATTGACATCTGGGAACACGGACATCCTGCACCCTGAATCAGCGTCACCTGTAGTAGTCACCTCCCAGCACACCAATGGGGACTGAGTCATCGGAGAGGACAGGCACCTCAATCATCTGCAGCTTGTAGCCCTGTGGAAGGAAAAGGAGGGTCTTGAGGACAGAAGGTGGTGGGCTGAGTGAGGAACCCGGCTCGAGGGAGCCTCGCGTGGCCTTGCTGTGCTCAGTGCTGCAGAATGCACCTCTCTACCTGGTTTCCTGCCCTGTGAGGTGGGAACATTCCTGCATGAACCTCAGASAGAATGTTCGTGGAGTTCTCAGTGTGACACCTGGACCAKCAGGGCCCAGCAGGCAGAGGGAGGGCAAGGTGGGGGCAGGGGTGTTGGGCAGGGTTTTGAGGCTCTTAAGAGGCTCAAGTCTCTGCTTTGAAGGAACTAGGAATTCCATGCTAGGATAAGGTAGGAAACTGGGATCCTTAGACACGGACAGCAAGCGAGGCACCACCATGTGCTCTTACAGCAGCCCTCACATGATGCTCACCTGGCATCAGAGGCCTACCCTGTGGTGAGGAATCGGGCCCAGAAGTGTTAAGGGACTGTCCACTCTGCCCAGGTTGAGTGCTGTGGCCAGTGGCCTGACCTGGGCCTCCCACCCCACAGCTCTGCTGCTTTCTACCACTCCTGAGGCCCCCTCAGCACACGCTTCCTCGTCTCTCTCGAAGCTCAGGTAAAGGTCAAGGAGCCCCCCAGCACTCCTGAGGCAGAGAGCTAAGCTGAGAGCCTGCAGGTTGTGAGAGTAGCTTCTGGTTCTGGCTTCATCACTGAGGCCTCGATGGCCTTGGCCATGGCTTTTGATCCCTGAAGCATGAGCATCACACAATGAGGTCAAGGAAGCTTGCCCCACCCACTGCATGGGGCTGTGAGGGTTGAAGGAGGGAACAGGGGTGGAGGCCCCCAAAGTACACTGAGTTACCGAAGGGGTGGGTGGGCAACCTGGAGCAGGGAGGAGACTGGAGCATGAGGACAAGAAACCAAGGGGCTGTGGGGTGGAGGGGACGATCCTTGGTGCTGGAATAATGATGCCAAGTGACAAGAAAGGAGAAAACATTAAGAGAAAGAGAGGGAAAGGAAAGGACAGAGAGGCGCTGTGGACAGCAGAGTCTGTGACCCACGCCACGCTGTGGCAGCTTCGCCTCAGGCARGCTATTAACCCCTTTGAACCTTCACCTACCAAATGGGAGTGACGGCGCACCCCACTTTACACAGAAGCGAGAATGTGAAGCACTACAGAGGTACCAGCTGTGATCCGAGGGCCCATCTCCGGGGGACCTGGAGTCTATCTCTTCGTGTGTTCATCAGGACGTTGCCTGAGCAATGGCACAAGTTGGCCGGGCAGCAGGTGATCACGAAGCAAACTTAAATGCTGGCGTGACAATGTGACCATGGTTCTGGGACCCCATCGCTATACTTACCTGTCATTCCACCAGGGACAAGAAGAGATGAGGGACAGATAGACTGAACACAGTTCAGAAGAAAGGAATCCGAGGGTGACAGCAATGGACAGCACTTCAGGACTTTCCTGCCAGGGCCCTGGCACACCCACCATATCGTTCTCAAACCACAGGAAGTAGGAGCAGCAGAAGTCCCCCTCGTGGAACAGCAGAGTGGTGTAGCCCTTTTGCAGGTATCGGCGCGCCAGCCGGACCAGGGCCCAGACCTGGGGAGGGAAGAGCGTTCAGCACTGCCCTGCGGCCACATGGCTCAGGTGAAGGAAGAAGGAAGCAGAAGTGCTGGGCTGAGGAGCTCCAAGGCCAGGGGCACTGCCTTGGCTCAGAGCAGGAGCTTTGGAAGCAATCCCTGTCAGAGGGATTGCCCGGCCACCCCTCCAGCTGAGGTGAGGATTAAGGACTTTATAGGACTACTRCACACTTAAGTTGTAAATTAGTAAACCCATACTTCAGGCCAGAAAATGGCCAAGGACAGTGTCATGTGCATGACAGGAGATTGAGGTGTGGCCACCTAGAAAATTCCTCTGTACAGGGGCCCCCATGGGCTAAGAGGTGATGGCTCAGCTCTGCTCCAGGAGCTGGGGGGAGCATGTTTGGACACACAATACGTGGAAGCCAGGCGTGTCCTCTGCTACTGGGTTAAGATCCAAGTGAGGATTCACCTTGGAGTGGACATGACCAGTGGACCTGAGAGATCACCTGCCTTAGGTCCCTGTCCTCCAGGGATGTTCTCTTGCCTAAAGCAGGGACTGTCATGGAGCTGCCTGAGAGCTGCCAGAGGGAAGGTGGCCAACTACTCAGCTTTCCCGTACTTCCAGGGCTGGGAAAAGACTCCGTGAACTCTCTTATTAAAAGCCTGGGTGGGGGGATGGAGGATTCACTCCACAGCTGATCACAATTTACTGTCTAATTAAATCCACAGAGGGCCGGGGATGTGGCTCAAGCGGTAGCGCGCTTGCCTGGCATGCGTGCGGCCCAGGTTCGATCCTCAGCACCACATACAAAGATGTTGTGTCCGCCGAAAAAACTAAAAAATAAATATTAAAATCCTCTCTCTCTCTCTCTCTCTGAAAAAAAAAAAATCCACAGATACACAGATTGGCTATACTTTCCAAGAAAGCAACTTGACAATGTGCATTAATATCCTTAAAAACATTCCTGCCGTCTAACTTAATAATTCTGTTTCTGGGAATCCATATTGAAGAAATAATCAGAGATGAGGACCCAGATGTATGCACAAAAGGTGTGTTCTGCAGAATTATTTATAACAGGGTAAGCCTGGAGACAGTCTAGAACTTCAAACATTGGGAAATGGTTATGTGAACTATGTTGCATTCACACAATGGACTATTATAGAGTTGCTAAAAATCAGCATATGAATTAATGGCACAAGGAAATGCATCTAACATAATGTGAAGTGAAAACGTGTCAAATAAAACTGCACATGCAGAGTGAGCTCAACTGYAACAAAGTATGAAGAGGAAACAATAAAAAGTAACATGCCAGGGAGCCCTGGCTGTCCAGAGAGGGACAGCCATGAAGATGGTGGGGTTGGGCCACTGGCCAATGCTCTATGGCTTATATCTATATTTTGTGCCACATGCTGTGCTAAGTATTTTACATGCATCATCTCAAGTCATCTTTACAGTGATCCAATGATGTAACTATTAATATCTCCTTAGTTGAAACTGACACTTCAACTAAGTCATGCCCAAGGCCACATAGTTAGTGGGAGGCAAGATGGGTTTCCAACATGGCCTTCTGCCATCCTGCTTATTTTAACTAGTAGGTATACTTTATATGAACAACACAAAAAATTGTTTTTAGAAAGTGGCAGAGGCCCTTACTCACCATAAAAACAAAACAAACAAAAAAAGTTTGTCATGAAAAAGAATCAGTTAAATTAGGAGAATGGTTCCTTAGTAGAAATGGTTCCACCTAATTTTAAATTCTGGTGGGTCTGGGGGTGTAGCTCAGAGATGGAGTACTTGCCTAGCATGTGTGAGGCCCTGCCTGAGTTCCATCCCCAGTACTACAAAAACTAAACATGTACAAAAATTCTGACTCCTAAACTGATTTCCCTAGAGTTCTTTCCATTTCAGCTAATTCAACAAAGTCTTACTGAGCATTTACTTATGCCAGACACCGGCCATTTCCTCCTCTGACCTAACAGCAAAGAGCACTCTGCTAATGCCAGGTGCATTGATATGCTAGGAGGTGCTGCCTGACACGGACGGAGGCCGACATGGTCCCAGATGCTGGGCCTCTCAGCTCTGGAAGACAAGGTGCTGTTCCCGAGGAGCTTGCAGCAGGTATACCTGGCAGTCAGGTACAGTAAGGGTTAAGGTGGGGGTGATCAGAGTCCCTGGAGCCCAGAGGACAGCAGGGTCCATTCTTCCTGGGTGGGAGTCAGACCTCAGCACATCCTACCCAATGGGCAGTGCAGAGTGCCTGGACCAGAGGAGCAAAAGTTACCTTGGCTTTGACGAAGGCGGCCAGGGGCCCCTTGCCCAATTCTGATGAAGTCTTTTCACTGCTGCTAAGGGAAGGTGCCACCATCTGCCCAGTTGTTCGGTCCACGTAGATGAAATGCACCAAGCCTGGGAAGTCCTCCAGGTAGGTGAAGGGTGAGTTAAGGTGCTTATAGAGCCAGGGATTATAAGCCTCCCTGTCTGGCTCCTGGGCTTCTGGTTCTGAGAAGCAGTGCCCAGGATGCCCCTCCTCATAGGCTTCCATTTCAGCCTAGCCCCCAGGATCCCTGCTGCCCCAGAGATCTCTCCACCTGTCCCACCTCCCTCAAGATCCTGGATACCTGCACAGGTAGCATAGTAACACGGGCACTTCTGGACTCCATGGAAACGCTGCGGTTTCACAGTTGGTCACTTTGGGAGTGAATTTAAATTATATACACCTTAAAGCTATGTGTGAGCAGAACCTGGCTGACCGCTCAAGCACACAGTGATCTTGTTCTTCTCCACCATTCACCTAAGAGGTAGGGAAGGTTCCCAGTGACGGGAACTGACCCCCATGGAAGGGCAGGCAGTAGCTGGTGAACAAGAGGCCTCCAGGCATCCCTCTGTCCTGCCTACTGAAGAACAAAGTCCCATAAGATGGAGGTGTGACACTTTGGAAATTTTAATACAGAAAAAGTGTTTGAAGTTCCCTGTAAAATTGGTATTCTAAAACTGGTGTTCCATAATACAAGAGACAAATAAAACTTGGGAATGGCTCTTTAAACAGAGATACACATTCACCACAGGCCTTCCCAGGATCTTCACATGCCACTGTACCTGGTAGCAATCCAAGGAAGGTGACAGGGGCCTTGTGAACCAACCAGCCCATGGCAACCCCTGTCCCTGCCCCCAACAGCTATTACCATTTTGCTGGCATAAGGAGCTTTAAGGCTGTTATGATTTACCTTTGGGACAGTGGCATTTCTGAAACTTCAGCCTTGGGGTGTCCTATAGATGAGGCAACTGTGACACAATCCCCTATTATTTTTCTTCAGAGAGAAGCAGCTGAGGTGGTGGAATACACATCCTCTCTTCCCCAGAGAGGCCTCCCTGGGCTGGCTGCTCAGATGTCAGGATATGATACCATGGTGATGTTCCTCCTGCTCTTCACCAACAGAAAGTCCTTCCAGTCCATCAGCCTCTCCCTGTGGGGGAAGCGAGGGCTGCTGAGAGGRGCGCCCTGCACTCCTGCTCTGGCTCCGCTCCCGCCTGTGAGGGCCTCTGCCCCACTTACCGCATAAGCTTCTGAACTTTGTCCTGCAGGTGCTGGGGCAGGTGTGGGCCTCCCCTGCTGGGCGCTGTGGTCAGGAAGCTGAGCCGGTAGATGGAGCAGAGCTGCCGCTTCAGCTTCCCACACACCTGGAGCAGCCTGGGTACGGAGTGTGTCACAGTGGGACTGGGAGCGMAGCACTGCATGTCCCTCACTGCGCCAGGAGACAGCTTCCCCGCTTCCCCTACAAGGTGCTCCTTGCCACTGTGCACCTCACCCACCTCATTATTTTGCTGACTAATGTGGGGAAGGACTTGCCCAAGATGGCATCCAGTCAGTGCTGCAGCTGCCTCAGGTCTTGGGGTGCCTGGTGTCGGGTCCTCATGCCCTGGCCCTCCACTTCCAGCTCTGCTTCCTGTGGCCTCCTGTGGGCTGGCCCTCAGCTTCCCAGAGACCCTAGAGCCTTTTCTCTCTCTGGGCCTGCAGTCTCTCTGGGGAACATCTCCCTGTTCCAGACTCCCCTTGTCCTCTGGGCCCACCACTTACTCCCAGGATGATCCCGGTTCGCTTTTGGAGAAGGCCTTGGTCTTAAACTCCAGCCAGGTGCTCTGTAAGGAGGACGGTGGCAGGTCAGCCTCCAAAACATGTCCTATAGTGAGGTCCAGAAGAGCGGCTCTGGGAGGACACAAGCTCCGCCCTTATACAGCCCAGGTGGGCTTCTCTGGCAGCCCCCACTAGCACTCTGAGCACCACAGCCCACGCCGTCCCATTCACACAGTAGGCCTTACTTAAGAGCCATTTCCACAGGCCACGTGTGGGCATTACAATTCGTGTTCTGCCACTCTTACGTAAACAGGCTGTGGAAACGTAAAGTGTGGCTGTTTGCTTTCTGTTCCCATTTCATAATGGGGAAAACAAGGAAGGTGGATCTGTGGGGAGCAGGCACAGGAACCAGTACCACTGGCCCCTGCTCTACTGGGATGAGATGGCCTTGCCGCTAAGCCTTGCTCATCTCCTCTGAGGCTGGGTGAATGCAGGCTTTGGGTCCCACCTGGATCTCCTGTCCCCCTCGATTCTTGATGAACTTGTCCATTCTCTGGCGCAGTTCTCCCAGGAGGGGCTGGGACCGCAGGCCACTGCCGGCCTCCTGGCCCTCCTTCAGCTTCTTCTCCACCAGGGAAAGACCATCCAGCAGCTGGTACAGGACCAAGGCMAGTGGGGTGCTGGGGCTCTATGGGAAGGAGCAAAGGGGTCATAGGGAGAAGCTGTTCGGGTCTAAGTGTCACCAGGGCAAGGTGGGAGATCCTGTACCTTGGTCAGGAGCACCATGTTGATGCCCGGCCACAGGGGTAGGCAGTACATGGTGTGGGGCACCAAAGGGCAATAAATTTCTTTTATACTGGCATCCAGGAAGATTCTTCTGGGGCTGGAAGGCACTGGGGAGTGAGGAACCTTTGTCTGGAGGGTGTCCTCAGCTATCTGTGGATGGAGGAGATTATTAGTGAGGTGGGTAGGAAATCTGGCCTCCTCCCCAAGTTGGATCCACTGTCAGTTGTCCCTTCCCTCTCCCACCTGTGTATGAAGAATACAAAATTTTAGCTGCAGGAAATGCTGGTTCTTAAATCCTGCATTGCCCCAGCAACTCCAGTTTTCTGCTCTCAACTTCTTCTGGGCCTTTCTGCCCCAGTCGGGACAGGATGCCAAGCAAGGCAGTGGGAAAGGGCGCAGGGCAAGAAGGAGCACAGAAGGCAGGATGGATGGACGCTAGGGGATGGGGAGAGGCTCCCTCTCCTGCATCCCTTAGAGGAAAGTGTCTAAGTGTCCAGAATCTCCTGACAACCTTCCAAACTGGGTAACTAGGCATAAGACGACTAAATGAGCAAGACTCGCACCTTAGTGGGGGCTCTGAATAAGGAAAGTCTTTAGTTGGAAAAATTATAGAGAATTAAGGAAATCATTAGAGATGCCAAAAAAATTTCTCTGTAAGGATGTCACTTCAGTTATATATAACAGCAAAAAACTGAAAACAATGTGTGGCTTGTTCCAGGGATTTGCTAAATAAATAGTAACATATGCGCGGGTGGACTCTCAGCGATTCTTAAAAACCATACTGTTGAAGAGTGCTTGGTAAATGGAAAATACTTAAGCAAGAAAGTATAATGAACTACATTAGGATCCAAATGTAAGGAAAATATATATAGTATGTGCGCATATATAGAGAAAGAGAGACAGAGAGAGAGAGAGACAGAGAGAGAGAGAGAGACAAAGAATGTGTGTTTGTAAAATCAAAGGAATAAAATACTTTAAGGAAACATATAAAAATGTTAATTTCACTTTGTGGATAGGATAGAGTGATTTTTGGTCTCTTTTCCATACTTGAATTTTGAATTTCTTGTTTTTCTAGAATAAATATGTTTAGGTTTCTCTTTTTCCCTAAATATCAAAACTTAAGTTCTTTTTTTAAAAATATCAAACTTATATTCAACTTTCCCTCCCAAGAAAATGAGGAGGGAAAGAAAATTCATCAGGCCTGAGGTCTGGTGCCTGGAGGAAGCTACCCTCATACCCTCTCCCTTCCCCAGGTGGGTCTGCCTCTGGGCTGAGCTGGGACTGACCAGCCTGAGGGGCAGCCGTGGGGCTAGTGCTGGAGGAGTCATGCGGTCACTCAGCATCCCCAACACTGCAGAGGAGCTATACCCATGTAGACCTTCAGAGACTCACCTGGGGAACATCAGTTGGCGGGGTGCCCCCTTCTAGCCAGATGGTGCTACCTGTGGGCCACAGGTAAGAATAAACAACATAAATACTGTGAGAACAGAATGATGTCACCTTAGCATGTCAGAAGGACTGGCGCCCAGAGGGYCCTGTCCATTGACAGTCAGCTCTAAGCCCCAGGTAGGAGCACAGGTTGTAGCCCCAGATTAGCCACCTTCTCCCAAACTGACCAGTGCTGGGTGAACTCTGCTTTACCAGGGCTAAAGCAACCTGGGATGGGAAGAGAGGCTTCCCGAAGAGCTGGCTGTTGGGACTGGAGCTCCTTAGCATGTACCTGGCAGTGTGTGTGGGGGTGCATTTTCCTTAGCACCTCTTCCTTGAACCCTTAATCTTCTCCTTGTTTCTGTCAGCACACAGCTGACATCCAGTTCTCCATTCACCAGTCTTTTACTTAACACTACTACGTGCCAGGAATTGAGTAGATTTTCTTCCTAGCATAACTCACAACAACACATGGAACCCACTATATATTTGAAATATTACATGTTTGCAATAAGTAATAATTGTTCTCTCTTGTATTTAATTGCAAATAGTCTTCATCTGTAATCATGCTTCTTTGGGGGTAGGAAGTGTGCTCCTAGGTTTCAAATGCCTGATTTACAAATGGATAGCACAACTCAATAGTTTGTAAGGCTTGAGTTCTGTTCTCAGTGGATGAACATTTACACCTCTGGKGCATAAAAATACCTAGCCACCAAGAGAGAAAGACCATAAGGAGGATTCTGATGACTGAGGAAAGGGAGTGATAAGAAGGAATTTGGAAGTTCATCCAAAAGCCACACCTCTCATCGTGCCCTTGGCTCAAGGGGTGCTTAAAGAATCTGCAGATGGCTATGGACCCTTGTCTCAGAAAAAGGCACAAGYATGAGTTGTCACACAATCTCAGGGGCTCCTAAGCTCCTTGAAGCTGGTCCAAGGACTGAAAATTGAGAACATTTAACCCAGTGGTGTTCAACCTTGGCCGCATATGAATATCATTTGGCACCYTGGCCACTGCTCAGACCAATTAAGTCAGAATTGCCAGGAACAGGCTCAGCCTCAGTAGTTGTGAAAGATGAGTCCAGTTAAGCAGTCTTAACTGCCCACAGCAGCCAGCCCCACTTGAGGCACAGGTATGCTATGTGCAGCCAGAGCTGGGAGCCACTGGCCTAAAGAAACCAAACAGTGAATCCTTCAAAACAGACTCCAACAAGTTCCTCCTCCTGCAACACTGGCCTTCTTTATTCTATGAAAWGGTGTGAGCCACAGGATCCTTCCTTTTATCCTAAAATCTTCATAGATAAATGTGATGCTCATTTGTGGTAACAATGACAATACAGATTTCAGTTTATCTTCTTTCCTAAGCAATGTGTATTATTTTTTGTTAATAACATTTTTGAATGTTAAGATAAACATTTTATTGTTTCCCCACATATTCTGGAAAAACAGGGAAAGTACAAATTATAGAGACTATTTATATTTTAAAATGTACTTAACATCAAAAAATTACATAATTTTACTTAATGACAATTATTTACTACAAAAAAGAAAAATAAGGTTGATACACATATAGAATTTTAAAATGAAATCAACTTGTCACAAAATGCTTTAAGGTGCATTTGAGTGGTCTCAGCAGTCCGTGAACACACACTAGCGCCAACACTGACTGTATCCCATAGCCTGTGCTCTGGGAATCTGAATATCTGCCCCGGGCCCTCGGATCCCTTGAGTGTGGAGATCCACTGAACCCTATGACGGATCCCCAGGGCTGCAGACTAGCAACTGTGCTGCTACCCAGGCTCCTCCTCAGGGCTCACCTGAGCTCTGCTGGCCAGGGGAAGGAGCTGGTGTGAAGTACTCTTCAGGGAGAGAGAAGCTGTCTGTATCCTGGGTGGGGAAGAAGGCAGCTCAGACCCAGGGCACAGGGGACTCTCCCAGAGGGCTCAACCCCCACCCTGCTCTCCTGGGAGAGCCAGGAAAGGCCTGGTCCCAGGATGAGACAGGGCCACCCTGTCTCCTTCATGCAGTGCCCGATACACACCGTCTCTGCAGAACTCCCCTTGGTTGGGCCCGAGACACATGGGCTCCGGGCCTGCTGCACAGGGATGTTCTGGCTTCTGTGGGGCCTCCTCCCTGGGGAAGGCTGTGAGAGGGCAGCGGAGCTGCTGGTTAGCATACATCTGACCCAGCTCTTCCCCACCATCCTCTGCATCCCAGCGCCTCACAGAGAAGCCCTCCATCCCTCCACCCAGCTCAGAGGGGACAGGCACCTGCCCAGCTCACACAACTAAGTGGTGAAGCTARATTTCAAACCAGGACTGGCTCCACAAATCTGCATTTTCAACCCACATGCATTCTAGAACCCCACATTCATCTGAAAGGAGCAGGAAAACAGTCATGCCCAACCACACRCCCAGCTGTCTAGCTGACTGCACGGCCTCCCTCCGGCCTGCCTGCCACTCTCAAGGCAGGTTTTCTACACCATCTCCCTGATGGCCTCCCTTCCACTGCCATGAGACCTGGCCATCATTGTCGTCCTCTACTGTGCTCTCACTCGGGTGGAGATCCTGAACCAGGAGGATGAGGGCGAGGAGGTCGGCTGGGCGCAGGGAACTCGCACCATGGCTGTAGGGACAGGAGAAGGGCATCTCATCAACACATGCCCAGAGGCAGCAGGGGCAGCTCTGCCCTCAAGGAGACAGGCAAGGTACAAATAAAACTAACTCTTCTATTTTAAAAATAAAACGTGGCTGTGTAGAAAAACAAAAATTAGCAACGAGAAAGCCCCAGGGATCAATAACATTATAAAAGGAGCTCTCCTAGATGCAGGCTTCCACACTGTTCCAGGGAGAAATAACAGAGAAGCGAGTGGGCTGAGGGAGGAAGAGCTGAGCCTGGGGCTTCAGGAAGAGACAGGYCTGGAAGCTTTGCTTGCTGGGCAGCTGCACTCTCCCAGGTGGAGGGAATAAGGAYGATGTGGAGGCCCTCCTGCAGCAGGGCCTCGGGCTCACCTGGAGTAGAAGGCCAGCAGCTTGCAGTGAACGAGCAGGAACGCGTGCAGGGCCTCCTCACTGCCCCGCTCAGGGCTGGAGTTGACAGCCTGGATGACATGCCTCTCCAGCGCCTCTATGCTCAGCTCACAGAGCTGGGGGTGAATCAGCCGCTCCACAGCCTGGCCAGGGTGGGCAGGAGAGGGAGCCATGTCACTCACCACCTCTCCTGCTCTGGGCCCAGGGCTAGTGGGCAAGTTCACTCAGTCCAAACTAAGTTCATACTAGGTGCCAGATATTTGGGAATATGGAGACGGACTAACATGACCCCAGCCTGCCTGGGGCTCACAAGCTGGTCCCCAGACTCCGGTGGATGAGGCCAATAATTCACAGGAAATAAAAGACATAAGCGTCAATTGTAATATATTCTGAGTAGGAAACACACAGGGCTGAGCCAGAGAAAGTAAACAGAGGCCTATTTGAGTAGTGTGCTCAAAGAAGTGTCCCTATGGAGGTGACCTTTAAACTGCCACCTAAAGAACTGGAAAGCCTGCTAGAGAGAGTGGGAGGGGGAATGCGACAAGTCAAAGACCAAGCAAATCCAAAGGCCCTGCGGGGTGATGTTCAGAGCAGGGCTGTCCGGCTGAAATGGAAAGCAAGTCCTAGGCATAATAAAGTTTTTTTTTTTTTTTGTAAAAATAAAGAGATGAAATTAATCTTACCAGTATATTCTACCCCATACCTAAAATATTACCAATGTATAACATAGACATGAATTGGATGCTTAACATTCTTTTTTTGTGTGTGTGCTAACACATGAAAGTCTGGCATGCACGGCATGTACAGCATGACTCACAGCTGCATTTCAAGTGTTCAAAACCACATGTAGTTAGTTAATCACTAATGACTGGACAGAGCTAAACATAAAGTATTCCTGAAACTGAAAGAAGTCCTGTGTGAATAAGGCGAGAGAGGCGTGAGCTGAGGTCTAGGTGGGACAAGCAGAGACAGATGGTGACGGAGCTGGTGGAGCTGGGGAGGAGTCTTGGTTTTTTCTCACCTCCATTGGGTCATTTACTCTAAGAAGTCTTTCTTGATCYCTGGAAACAACTGACTACTCCATCCATTGTGCCACCATGAATTTTGATAAGAAACCTAATATGATACCCAGGATACTTGTATTTTTAATATACATTCTGAATGCCTTTCTCCCAAGGGCAAGAAAAGTGTCTTCATTCATCAGGGCCTGACCCACCTCTTAGTGTACAGCAGGTATTATACGTTTACTGGAGGAATGGATAAGTAGGGATGTGCGAATGAATTCCTTTCATCATCTAGTTCACTAATTCTCTCTTTAGCTATGTCTCATATATTTTGATGAGAAACCTAAGATGACACCCAGGATATTTAACTCATCCATTAAGGTTTTCATTTTACTAATTATGCTTTTGTTTCTAAATGTCCACATGGGTTCTTTTTCAAATCTGCCTGGCCATTTTTTAGTCTCTTGCTATTTGTTCATTTTTGGAATTTTAATTGTTATATCTTTGTATACTTTAGTTATTTTATATTCTGTAACCTAATAATTCTAATATAGCAAGCTTCTTTGTTGGTAACTGATTCCCTGACTTCCCTTGACTCTCAAGTTATAATGGCTTATTTTCCTGTGTATCTGACTTCCTTTAACTGACTTCATTTCTATTTGATCTTAGTCTGTCCTTTAAGGCAGTGTTTTCCCAGGTATGGTTCCTGGGTCAGCACACTCAAGATCACCCAGGAACTTGTGAAAAATGCAAACTGTAGAGCCTTGATCCTTGGCCCAATGAATGAGAAACTGGTGGTGAGGCCCAGCAACCTGTACTCATCCAATATTCCTGAAACTGAAAGAAGTCCGGGGTAACCAGTGCAAAGTGAGCAAGGACAAGAGAGGCATGAGCTGAGGCTGAAGCAGGACAGGCAGAGACAGATGATTCTGATGCACACCAGAGTGTGAGAGAATGTGTGTTTGTTGCCATGAACAATCAAGAAGTGCTATTGACCAAAGCTACCCTAACCCCCAGGCCTGGGCTCAGCCTGGAAGAGGCAGGTTCAGCTCCCAACATCCTGCTGGCTGGATGCTATTTTCTGGCTATGGTGTTGGTATCATCCGCTCTCAGGGCCTCTTGCCACTTCTTACCACTCTTGTTCACTACTTGTTCACTGCCTCCCACTCTTTTTGTGGGGTGGGGATAAGGTCAAAAGATTATCTTCAGGAATTTCAGTAATACATAGTGAATCCCAAACCTGCACTGGGAAAATTCTTACCCAGAATCCAGTGGTCCATCAGAGTACCCAGCCCTCCATATGGCCAGAAAGAATGACTCAACATAAATGAGTAAATTTCAGGGTCTTCCTGTGCCCAAAACAAGGTCTTACAGCTTGATGCCCCCCGTGACTCAACACCTCTGAGGCCCAAAGTATCCATGCCCCATAGTCACCTCCACAGCGAAGCTCTGCTCCTGCTCCCGTAGGCGGCTATAGGTCCACAGCAGGCTCTGGAAGTGCTCCCACACCTGGACACGCTGCTCTAGGTCAGGAGGCCGTAACCTGGGGGTAGAACCAGGGAGAGTGGAAGCCCATGAGAAAGGTAGTATTTTCAATTCAAGCTTAGGACCACCATCTCAGGTCAGCATAAGAGTCAGCAAGCTCAGGAGATGTGACCATCTAAGTGGGACACACACCGAGACCAGAGGCCATGTTTCAGACTGTGCCCTGGCTACATTGTGGTATGACGTGGGCAGAGAAMCAGAAGACAGGCCCTTGAACAAATGAATTCACTCCTTAGTCTCCTTCACACAGGTGTATCAAAGGCAGCTAGAAGCAACCAGGAAGGTGTCTGCAGTTCCTAAGCTTCTCACACCCCCYACAGGCCCTGGAAACAGACAACTCTGGTCTATCATCAGGGCAGAACACGGGGGTGCAGCCCTCTTCAATGCTGCACAGGTAATGATGGTTTGTGTAATGGTAGCTGCTGCCTGTAGCACTTGCTGCCGACACTTGTGACCATCTGGGCAATGACTCATGAGATCATGTTTGACAATTTGGTAMATGACTCAATTGGCTACTTACTTACATCACTTCAAAACCAAAAGATTCCAGGGTTTCCCGTGTTAGGGAATTGGGATGATTCCACCCTGAACCTTGCTCTTCTGGGTCCATGTTTCAACCAAGTCCCTTTTCTGGGTTCCTTCTCACCTCAGTGTACACTCTGAACCAACAATCTTTTTTGCCAAGTTTGTTGCAGGCCCAGAGTTGGGTTTGGGGGCCTGACCCCTCAGATAACACAAGCTTGGCTGTATGAAGGCATGCATTTTTCTGGAAAATGAGCCTAAAGCTTCTTTGAGAGGGGAGAGAGGACCAGCTCAAACCAGGGTGGAAATGACAAAGTAGGGAGTTGAGAGTACTAAAGTCAGATTTCCAGGCTGATGCTGTTGCCAACCAGCTGGATGGTTCTGAGTAAATATTCAAGTTCTCTGCCCTTAGTTGCCCCATATGTAAATGAAACAATCAGACCAGCTAATCTCCAAGGCTCTTTTGAGCTCTGCTCCTCTGAGGGCCACAGGTGGGGCAGAATATGGAAGCACAACTTCAGAGGCTAGGCATATGGCTGCCTGGCCCCATGAGGGTACTCAGCAGAGGACAAGGAAGGGACCAGACTCAAGGACTCACTCCTTTCGGACGAGCTGGCCATCCATAGTAACCAGTCCAAAGTGCACCTCAAACAGGTACTTGAGCACACAGAGCTTCCGCCGAAGATCTCCCTCGTTCTCAGTGTGGTCCCCATTGATGGCGATGAATAGGCATTCTCCAAACTGTAGGGACAGCCAGGCAATGTCAGCTAGTCTCTGGGGACCACCCTTTATCTGCCATAATCTCAGCAGACAAGGGAGGGGAGGCCTGAGCCCCAGGGGATTTTGATAATATGCTGTTTCTGCCCTTCCAAGGAAGTCTACAATCCAAGATGAGGAAGGGTATGTGGATTCCCCATGGAGCTGAGGGAACAGGAACATGGGCCACAGGGCCTCACACTCACCAGGTGAAGGACATACAGGGAGTTGTCATTTTCTGTTGAGAAGCATGTGTATGTGTCTGAGAGTTTCTCCAACATGGTCATGGAGGAGATGATGACTGGGGCCAAGAGGGTGCTGAGCTGGTCTTCCAGGGCAGGAAGCTGCAGGGGGTCAGGGAAACAGCACTGCTTGGTGTGTGCCAGATGCCGAGGACAAAGGAGTAAATAAGACTAGACCTGTCTGGGAGGGAAATCACTGTCATGATTGGGAGGGGACAAAGAGAACTGCCCCCACCACCTTGGGTGATAGGTAGGAAGGTGGGGAGTCAGCCCAATATCTGTGCTGATCAGACTCTGAATCTGGAAGGAAATACCAAGGAACTGGCCACATTTCCACAGTAGAATGTCTGGGGCATTTAACTGAGAACTTGTCAACTCTAAGGAAGTACAACACCTACCAAAGTCCATGCTGTTTATTGGCATGGGGGATTTATCCTAAGGAAAATGACTGGTGATAGGAGATGTGCACGCAGATGTTCATTATAGCACAATTTATAGATGCAAACAGTGTAAAAAACATAAGTGCCCAGTACTAGGGAAAGAGTTAAATAAATAACAGTATGTCTAAGTGATGGGAGAGTCTGCAGAACCACTTAAAATATTAATGTTTCGATGACAAGAAAAATTTCTCTTATACAAGGTTATGCATATATTTTTAAAAGATGTGAATGCTCTGTATTTAAAAATACTTAGAAAAAAGTACTGAAAAATATTAAGAAAGCCAACACTGTTAAGTCACTACTTCTAGATAGAGGAATTATAAGTGATTTTTTCCTCTATTTTGTTTCTGTGCTTTCCATAACAAGCATGTATTTGCTTTGATAAGCGCTCTCCCTATCCATTCTCCTGGCTGCCAAAAGAAGGAACAAAACAACTAAACAAAAGCAAAAAGGAATGAGGCAAATTTGTTGAGAGCCTGTGAATGAATGTGGGAGAAAGCCAGCTGAGTTCGGTACCTCCAGTTCCCCAAACTGCAGTGAAATAAAGGAGGAAACAGCTGATGTCCCCCAGGGGACTTCAGGGGACTGGAATGGAATAAGGGGAAAGTTATACCCTCACTTGGAGCTGGCACGTCCTACAAGGAGCTAAGTAAGTGCTCGMCTTGAAAAAAGAACCAGGCGGCTGGCGAGGAGTCCTGTGCAGCCCTGAATGGGCCTGGGTGCAGCAGGACGGTGCACATTTTCTGCAGACATTCTCAACACGCAGGCACCCAGCCCAACAGTGTGTCCTGCGGGCTTTCATGGTGGCTCCTTCACATCAYTCCCATCCCAGCCCAGAGGGCTCCGTTCCTGGTGGCCACCCCACCCCAGCTACTCCCCACCCCACACCCTGTTCAATGTCTTCTCTCCATTTACCACAGCCTGAACTGGAGTATTTCTTTGCAGTCTGGTTCACTGCACATCACCCCTCTTTAGACCCTAAGTTCCCTGACAGAAAGGATCACATGGCTATGGTCACTGCTTTATCCCCGTAGGCCAGCACACAGTAGGTTCTCAGTTAATATTTGCTGAATAGATAGTCTCCCACATAGACAGGAACAAATGCTTGTTGAGTTATTCACATTCTATGATTTTCTTAAATTGTCACCAATTCTACTAATAGAAAAGCCACTTAAAATCTGATTCTATACAGCAACTCACTGTGAAGAATAGCTTTCTCTACAGACATAGGAACAATCTTTTGATGATTGGGAAAGGAAAATTTTTGGTATATGTAGAGTTGGAAGGGACACTCTTATATACTATTTGGTGGGATTATAAAGTGCTACAATATATTTGAATAGCTTTTGACTCATTTCTATTTTAGGAATAATCATAATATCAAATAATCGGAAATGGGATGAAATTCAAGCACAAATGCCCCATACAGCAAGTGATAGCTAACTAGACRGAATATATATGTCCAGCATTAGAAAATGGTTAAATAAATGATGATACATTTGTTCATGTACTAGAATATAATGATGCCATTAAGAATTATGCTTTTGGGAACATTCAACAAAATGGAAGAATGATTTTGATATAATGGGAAATAAAAAAAAAACAGGAAATAAAACTGTAAATGTGGTATGATTCCTACTATATAAAAGATACTGACTCAAAGCAAGTATATTAAAGAGCTAATAGCTCTGGGTAGCAGAATTATGGGTCATTTAAAAACTATCTCTTTGCTTTCCAAATTTCCTTCAATTAACTCATGTTATTTATATGACCAGAACAAATGAGTGTAGCATACAAAAAAGACTTTTTTCCTTTACACTAGTCTTAGGAACTGGAATATACTTAGGAACTGAAATATCAGGAGTTTGTTTCAGTACCAGGTTTTTAATAAGGGCGGGGAGCACAAAATAGTTTGCTTCTTAAATTGATCTAGTTGAAATAGTAGTTCTAGACTTAAGACAAATTCGTAATTTAAAAATTAGATGTCCTGCCAGGCGTGGTGCCTATAATCCCAACCACTTGAAGGCTGAGGCAGTAGGATCAAAAGTTGAAAGGCAGCCACAGCACCTTAGCAAGACTCTGTTTCAGAATACAAAAAATAAATAAATAAAATAAAGAAGGGATGGGGATGTGGCTCTGTGGTTAAGCTCCCCTAATAAAATCACTCTAATGTACCTGAGCTCCAATACCTTATTTTCTCTTAGCAACTAATAAGAATATCAGTGGAGTGGGCTCAGCTGGAGGGCAAGCCCTTCATAGCAGTGAGGGCAGAGAGGCAGGCTCTCTCTCTGCTGCTGTGGAAGTTCAAGAACTCCCACTACTGCATCCCCAATTAAATTTTTTTGAACTCAAAATTAATGAAGAAAACATTTAACATAAATCGCTTGTTCAAAATGCAGACCAGAAATATAAGTGAAAATGACAATAATTTCAGAAATCAAAGTAGTAAACTGGATGTCCATGAGTAATAATAGAAACCCCAAAACTTTAATACATACCTCACACCATATTCAGAAGTGCAAAATGGGTCATTAGGCCAAATATGAAGCACCAAACTCTAAAACTTCCAGAATAAAACATTGGAAAACTCTTGGGTTAGGCAAAGATGTCTTACACATGACATAGAAAGCATGATTTATAAAAGCAAAAATGGAAAATTAGAGTTATCAGAATTGAAGAACTTCTGCTCTATGAAAAATACTCTCAAGAGAATGCAAAGATAAACCACAGACTGGAAGAAAATATTTGAAAAACATATCTAATAAAAAGACTTATATCCAAAACATATCAGAAACTTCCAAAACTTGAAACTCTCCAACCATTTGGAAGACTTTAGTAGTTCCTTAAAGAGTTAAACATACACCTATGTGAGCAAGTCATTCTATCCTAGGTATTTACCCCCCACATACATAAAAATGAAAGCATTTGTCCAAAGACTTGTACATGAATGTACACAGTTGCTTTATTTATATTAGTCAAAAACTGGAAACAATCCAAATGTCCATCAAGAGGTAAATGAGTAAACAAACTGTGGAATATTGATATAATAGGCAACTACTCAGCAATGAAAATAAATGAATGATATATGCTACAATGTGGATGAACTGATAAAGAATTATGCTGAACAAAAGAGGCCAGATTGAAAAAAAACACAAAAAAATAAAAAAACTAAACTCAGATATACACTGTATGAAATACAAACTATTCATGATGGACAGCAGATCAGTGGTTGCWAGGGGAGGAGGTGGGAAAGGAGAGATTACTTTTTTCAATTGATTGTGATGGAGTCATGGGTATACACACACATACACACACACTGAAGCAGATCAAACTGAATACTTAAATATGTACAGATAATGGTGTGTTGATGATAACTTAAGACAGCTATGAAAAAATAATGCATGGTTTATTCTAAAAATTTTTGGTACAGAAACTAATAACACTAAGTTTCTCTGTCACATGGTTAAAAATCCTATCTCCTCTTGCCCTCACTCCCAGCAAGCCCTGGTAGGGAGCAGGCACTGAGGTCTCTGTACCCACAGTAACAACAGGCTGACTTCCAGGGATATGCACCTGGCTGTGAAGGACACTGGACATGCACACACCCTGCTAATTCCTTGGGTCCTCCTGTATCCTTGCATTCTGGGAAATCCACGCTGCTCCCTGCCACCCCAGCTCCTGGGACCACCTATGCTGCACTCACCTCTTCTTCCTCATTCTCTGATTGCCCGAACTTCAGCCRGAGACTTTCTTTAAACTCTTCATCTGTCCAGTAGAAGAGAACCTCTGCACCCTCAGTGGCCACCAAGACACACTTCATCTGCCAGGAAGAAGCAAGGTCAAGGTCAACCCCAGCTCCGATATCCATGAGCTCAGCCTGAGTAATGAAGAGCATCCTAACCCCAGCAAACTCTAACTGAGCCCTTTCTGCATGCTAGCCACTATCATGAGGGCCTTCTTGGTGTATTTTGTTGTACCTTGATATAAGACTCTCCAGTTACTGCCATTTTACAGAGCAGGGCGGGGGCATAGCCTGAGTGGAAGAGCTAGGACCAATCAGGTGTGTCTGATGCTGAACCCCTGTCCCCATAGCATCAGACTCACCATGGGGCCTACTGAAAAACAAGGAAGGGACCCTAACATTGGCCTGGACACAGTGGACTGCCTAAGGACCCTGTCCACAGTTCCTACTTGAACTGCTCAGCCACCGCCTCCAGGGTCTACAGCCCTTCTAAACTCTTCCCCATTGCCCACACTTGCACCTTCTGTGCCACAAGTTTTAATGCTTGAGAATAAGAAACACTTCTTGTTACCAACAAGATTCTTAACACAGAGCTTGATATCCTGGCCCTGGAGTTCAGAGATCTGGATCCTCTCAACCTGTAGGGTAACCTGACCAAGACCGGCAAGGCCAGAGCTCTGGGCCAGTGTTTGCAGCTACATTAGTTTAGGCTTCAAATTCCCTCGTGGACCTCAGTGTGCTACACAGATGTGACTGTGCTGTAAAGTGCTAAGCTGTGATGATGCTTAGAAAACTTTGCTTTGACTCTTGTAGGAGAAGGTGTCCAGTTTCCCAGGAGGCTCACAGCATCCTGAGGTCCTGGCCTCTGCTGTAGTCTCCAGGAACTGCTCGCAGCTCAGCRGTCCTCACTGTGTTCATCTCAAATCTCATGCTGGTTTATCAGCTCTGAAGCACTTGGCCCCAGGATGTTTACAAGGTTAGAGTGGGGAGAGGATTGCTAAACACTACCACAGAAACTGGGAGAGCAACGGGGTGTGAAGAAGAGGCTGCTGGGAGAGGGCAGGAGACCTGTAAGAGGCTGCTCAGGGACTCTGGAACTGTGTGGGGTTGGTCTGACCAGAAGGAAGTGAGCTATGATCAGAGTCTATGGTTGACAGCAAGAGAGCCCTTTAGGCTGTGGCAGGCTGGCTGGAGATGGGCCACTCTAAGGTCATGAAGACCAGCCATCTGAGTGTGGGGTAACGAGGGCCTGCTCCTTGGTGGAGGCCAGGATTGTGGAGAGGAAGGASCCAATTAAGGAGGTGTAGCTTAGAGATTTAGCAGGCTCGGATGACTGCCAGGATGTGGGGGATGAAGACTGGGCAAAGGTGGCATAAGGATGCAGACCTGGGGAAGGGGCGTGGGGTGGGGAGGGTTTGCAGAGCCAGGAAAGCTCAGTCTCAGTCTACTATCTTCGGTTTGCTTCCCACAGTCCCAGGGTGGGTGCCTCCAGCCTCCCTGTATGCCCGGAGGGCAAGGTCATCTACCTTTGTAAGTAGCAGTGGAGCTTCCAGGCAGCCAGAGGCTCAGAAGGGGTATTGGTAGGTAGACTCGATGACCAGCTCATGGAACAACAGCACAGCATTCTCAGTCCTGCAAATGCTTAATACCCCCCCCCCAAAAAAAAAAATAAGGGCAAGCAGAGGCTCTGGTCCCACTAGCTGTCTGTTCCTAGGAGTGGACAAGCTAGGGATGGCTTGAAAGGTCAGGTGAGCCTAGCCACAAACATTGGTTCCTCCTGAGAGCTCTCATTTCACTATGGGTCACTCAGAAAGGAGGTGTGGTCAGCAAATCCTGAGCAGCCCCAGGGAGCTGGCTGAGTAACTAAGTGGAGACAGCACAGCACATCCCAGGCTGGCAGGTGAGCAGTCCCTGTGTGAAAGATGGAAAGTGGCTATCCTGGGGGAAGCCACAAAGGGCAGTAAATTTATTGAAAAGGCATGAGATCTGGTTCTGGCTTTGTCTTTGGCAGGTCAGTTAAACTCTGAGCCTCAAACTCCCACTGGGAAAGGAGGGAACAACCYTCTGCTGAATCTGCCTACAGGGTTACAAGGAGTCTTGGAAGCAACCAGCTAGGTTGCTAAAAAAGCTCAGCAAACTCAGCTTTCTTATATAAATGGGGAAGGGATCATTAKTGTTTTCCAGTTGTCCTTCTTCAAGTAACAGGATGAACTATGCAGGTTTCAGAATCATTCAATTTTTGACAAAAGACAGGAACAATATAAAGCTACACAGGAAACCACTGGAAGCAGCAGGGCTCTTGGGGACTAAGGGCTGCATTCCAGCATGGTTGGTCTTAATGCCAATCTAGAAACATGGGAATGCTTTTCAGTGGGCATTAGATTCTACTCTCTTCCCTGTAGGATGAGTTTGTTTGGAAGTGAACTTCACCCATCTCATTTTGGAATTTCCTATTCTCCTTGCTATCCTGCTCTATAGAGGAACTCAGAGGAGGGGGCTTTCTGGCAATGGAGTTCAAGATGGCACCAGCGCGCTTTCATCATCTGGACCAGGAGTCCTCTCCAGCAAACTACCCCTGTGRCTTGTGTCCTGTCAGCTGACTTGGGGCCGGGCCTTGCCCCTACCCGGGCAGAGAACCTGCACTGTGTCCGGACAGAGCCTGAGCCAGCCCCCTGCAGCCGCCGGGCCTTCCTGCCCGCCAGGCACTTCAGTTTACTTACTGGTTTCACCCCCAAGACCCCAGGTTCCCCCCGAACTTTACGGCGACCCTGGTGAGGAGGCMCGGCTGTGGTCCCCGGCCCACGGGGAGGTGGGGCCCGCTCTCGGGGCCCCCACGGAGTCCCCTCCGAGAGGGCTGCGCCGGGTCCCGGAGGAAGCTCCGCCGCCCGCTGGGGGATCCACCCGGGGCGGCACTAGGACTGTCGCGAGGCCCACGTACCGGATAGCRGTCCCCACGGCCCAGCCGGCGCTAGCACCCGGGCGCGCTTCCGGGTGAGACCGCGTGACCCGCCACGTGATCGCCTGCGCGGGAGGCGGGAGCTGTGCTCCGCGGGTTCGAGCCCCGCCCTGCCTGGCCGTGCCTGGTCCTGCCTGGCCCGCGGGCGGCCGCAGCCTCTGCTGTSGAGCTGGGCGTCCTGTGGTGCCGAGCCGCTTTTCTCCGGCATCCAGGAGGGCGCTGGGCCCATGCACGCGTCTGTGGTCGAGGCACTTGCTGTACATCCCGCACTGCTTAGTTCACTAGGCATAATGTCCTAGAGGTTCATTCATATCGTAGTGTACATTGAAATGTCCCTCCTTCCCCCCCCCCTTTGTACCAGGGATTGAACTCGGGGGCACTCAACCACTGAGCCACATCCCAGTCCTATTTTGTATTTTATTTAGAGACAGGGTCTCACTGAGTTGCTTAGCGCCTCGCCATTGTTGAGGCTGGCTTTGAACTCAGGATCCTTCTGACTCAGCCTCCCAAGCCGCTGGGATTACAGGCCTGTGCCACAGAAWTTTCCTTCCTTTTGAAACTCAAATAATTTCCTTTATGTGTGTATAATCATCTTTTGCTTATTCATTCATCTGTCCATGGTCACTTGGGTTGCTTCCACATTTTAGCTTTTATTAATAAGTCTGTTGTGAATATGAACATGTATCTCTTTGAGATCCTGCTTTCAATTCTTTTGGGAATATATTCAGAAATTGCTTGATCATATGGTAATTCTATTTAATTTTTTGAGGTACATACTGTATTCCACAGTGGCTGCATGATTTTACTTTCCCACCACAAGGGCATGAAGTTCAAATTTCTCCACATCCTGTCAACATTGTCATTTATTTTTCTTCTTTGACAGCAGGCATCCTAATGGGTATGAGGTGGTTCAACAGAAGTTTTTATTTCACTTTGGTGAACACCTAGGAGTGGGGTTGCTGGGCCGTATAGTAAGTCCATGCTGAACTTTATGTTGAACTATTAAGCCATTTTCCAAGGTGCATGTACCATTTTATGTTCCCTCAAGATGCTCTATACCCTTGATAGCATTGGATATGGTCCTTTTTAAACTTAAACCATGCTAGGGATGTGCTGGYGTTTCATTGTAGTTTTAATTAATCATTTTCTTAATGACTAATGACTTCTTTCCATGTGTGTATATGCTACCTTTATCTGTTCCTTGGTAAAGTGTTCAAATCCTTTGACCATTTAAAATTTTAATTCTTGGGGCTGGGGTTGTGGCTCAGCAGTAGAGCACTTGCCTAGCACTTTCAAGGCGCTGGGTTCGACCCTCARCACCACATAAAAAGATAGATAAATAAATAAATTAAATAAAGGTAGTATGTCCAACTACAACTAAGAAAAAAATAAAATTTAATTCTTTTTCTTATTGTTTATTTGACGTTTTAATATATTTGGGTATAAGCCACTTTATCAGGTATTTTCTTTTTTTCTCTTTTGGCAGTCTATGTCTGTTTGTTGTTGTTGTTGTTGTTGTTATTGTTTACAGTGACTTAACTTTGTATCTAATATATCTAAAGACCACATGGAGAGGAACTGGAAAAACAGCAGCAGATCAAATAGGGACCATCTCACATAGAATTGGACAACAGGAAGGTAACTGTGGGTTTCACTTAATTTGAAGTCCTCATTTTATAGATAAGGACACTGAGAACCATAGAGGCTGAGTGAATTTTCTTTTGAGATGCACAGAATCAGTGGGATAGCATTGCTGTGATCTCTGGATGTGGGTGTTTATTTGGTCTGGAGTCTGGCCTCTGATTCTACAAGTGATCTTATAACCTGCTTTGCTATTTGAGTTTTCAAATTTTATTTTTGACGTGTCCAGTAGAGGGCGCAGCACCTAGTACTACCTGTATCCTAACTGGATAGTAGTGGAACAAGTTTTTTTTTTTTTTTTTCCCTAATATTCTTTTTAGTTGTAGATGGATACACCTCTGTTTATTTTTATGTGATGCTTAGAATCGAACCCAGTATCTCACACGTGCTAGATGAGTGTTCCACCCAGCTACAATTCCAGCCTCAGAGATAGATTTTTGATAAAAATCAGCCAAATACTAGAAAAGGCAGGACCTAAAGAGGGGGTTCAGGGGGAGGARAAGAAAGCTCCTAATCAAAAAAGGTTATTTTGGAGTTTGCAAAAACGTCCTGCTGATCTAGATATTACCACACACAAATGTAACAGTTACTTGATAGCAAATCAACTGCAGGGACCTAAAACCATTGACTCATTCTCTGGCCTCCCAACACCTAAGTTCTATGYTCCTTTCCCATGAAATGTACTTGGGAAGTAGCTGCTAGCTAAGGACTTCATTTCCTGAAGCCCTAGTGTCTAGATGGGCCTATGTGACTAACTTTTGGCCCATAGAACTGAGGGAAAGGGACATGTGCCATTTCCAGGTGAGGCCCCTAGTTGCCCCCATGTGATCCTTTCTCTCATCTATCAACTGCATGTTGATGCCAGAGTAGGCTTGGAGGGAAGTCCACAGATGGCAGACGGCCTGTGTCAGTCCAGATTTCTAAGTGATGACTTGGGAAGATAAAGCTACTGACCCCCTTCCCTGTTATCACCAGATGAACTGAATGTGGGTTATAAGMAAGAAATAAACTTTGATTATGTTAAGCCATGGAGATTCTAGGGTTTACTTATTATTATATTTAACTGTTAAATAATATAATCAAAGACAACTAACTTGAATTATAGGATTTAATTTCTACCTAGACTAGTTGAAACAGAGCTTGTGGRGGAGAGGGGAGGGCAACACACCATTCAATCAAAGGTTCCCAGCATATGCTGGTTCATCAAGCAATAGGTCTTAAGGTCAAGGTGTAACGTGGACAACAGATGCCTCCCTCTCCCCACAGAAAACCCTGAGAACAGAAAGTTAGAGTAGTCACATTTTATTACTCACAAAACATTACCTCCAAATATAAACTACCTCATGGACCCAAATCCCTGCGATCGCCAGGCTCATATATACCATAACATAATCTGCTTTCCAGAAGGAAATATTAACACCTGTTAAAATCCTCCCCATAGAGACAAAGCTTTTCCTGTGGGGTGTCCTGTACTCATTTTGCCAACTTCCAGATGAATAAAACTAAGATTTCTTTTTGCTTCTTCCAAAATTATAATTTATTGCATAATATTTACAACTTGAAAAAGAATCCTAGAATATTTTCATGCATAATAATGAGAAGAGTAATATTCCTGATGTGGGCTGTTGGAAGTGCCTTCTTTTCTCTGCTGGGTCATGGGACTATGCGATTGATTCACGAGCCAGTCGAATGGAACTTTCTCAGCTCCCACCCAATGCTCCCAGTGCTTACATGGACTGCTCTGGCCTATAGAAGGAAATGGTGCCAAGTAGTTCTTTGTTGTATTTTTATTCTCTTTTTTAGGGTGGTATTTGCAAATACTCCCCCTTGGTCAATGGTCCATGGATTTATTATTTAGTCTGGGAAAGTGTGAGTGGTATCCTCTGAGGAGGACAAAGTGTGTTTAGTTTCTGATTAGCTCAGTCACTTACCTCCTAGGATCTAGAAATACAAGAACCATTCATTACCTATGGTGGTGGCTGGCAGGAATTGTCCTTAGATTGTTCCACAGAAAAATACAGAGGGGGAGACCAGAAGAGTCACTGGTGGGCCAAGATGAGTCTGGACTTGGCCAAGGCTGTTAGTTGGCTTCCTTAAACCAGAGATCAAGGGGAAGGCACTGGGGGAAGTCATGCTAGGGTTCTCTGTGGGACATGCACAGGGTATTAAGAAGGCTAGCTATGGGCAAACAGAGATGAGAAAAGGTTGTCTATTGTCAGACAGAGGAGAGGCAACACAGTGTAGTGACAGCCAACTTTGGAACCCAAAAGACCTGGGTCCAAACCTCAGCTCGGCCACTCTTCACCTGGATGGCTATGGACAGGCTCCTTCTCTAATCCTCCCCATCTCTAATAGAGTCAAAATACTCACCACACCACCCAGAATGAAGAATAAATAAGATGTCTGATGAGAAGAAGGCATTCAATAAAGGAAGGACAGCTATGGAAGCAATCATTTCATTGTTAGTGGAACTCAGAGGGAGGGATTCCAAGTGTTCCGGTTGTTTGGACCTCATAGTACAATAAAATTCTGTATTTTAGCATTGGCTCTCTTGGGAGTACTTCTTACTATCTTCTTTACAACTCAGGTACATGCTAAGGAAAAGAGTACATACAAATCTAAAATTAAAGTTTAAGAGTTGGGGATAGAGAGRCTGGCAGGGGAGGGGCTGTGGAACGGGAGAGCGAGTGCGGGAAGAGCAAGTCAGTGTCCAGAGCAGCCCAAGGGTGCCCKGCTGGACAGGGGTGTGGAGGAAACTGTTAGGTACAAGACTCTGCCCTTCCTTCTCTGGCTTTCCCAGAGCCATATCTYGATTCTTTTTGGTTGCTCTATTGATATTTCAAAATATGAAAGTCCTTCCTTGTCCTAGTGTTTTTACCATCAGAGGGATCCACCTGGTTTGCCTTTGCTTCTGCAGAGATTAAATGCTGACATTTTGTTTTTAGAAACAAAGCCACTCTCAGTGGGTTTCCAAGGTGAATCCTGTAGCTACATCCATTCCAGGCACTGGGCCGGGCCCCAACCATGCCGCCTGCAGGAAGCTCGGTGGCTAACAGCCCACTGAGTGCTGGCCCCTGATTCTGGGAGTGGGTAATAGCAGAATCCATCAGGCTTCTCTGTCCTACCTGAGAGTGTGTGGCTTTGGGCCTCCCTGCCTGGGGACTGCCCACACTCCTGCTGGGGTGGAACTGGGGCTGGAATCATGGTTCTAGGAGGTCTAGGCCTTAGTCCCACTGGAGCCCCCTCCCCCTCCACTGGTATTTTCAAGCTTTTCTCCAGCCAGCGATAATACTAATATTCCACAGTTGCAGTTTTTTTTTTTTTTTTTTTACAGGGCATTAGAAGAATTGGGACTTTCTCTCCAAATAACAATGAGAATTTATTCTGAGCCTTTGTGATAAGAAATGAGAAAGGAAATCATTCCTAGAGGCAGAAGGAACACAAAACCATCTCAACAAAAGGCACGGATTCTCATTCTGCATCATTACTCTTTCAAATCAGTATGTCCACCAGCCCATTCTTTGGTTTAAAATAAAGCAGTTCTTAAGTCTCAGATGATCTCCACAGTGTCCTGCTTGAGGAAAAGGAAAGTCTGGGGGACACGCACTTTGCTCTTTTGTCTCTGGCTGGCCTAGAAAATGGTTCTCTTGATATGGGTTGTGATGCTGTTTGCCACAGGCAGTCTTCAGGGGTGTGTGTGAAGGGGATTCCTAGATGGAGCAACCCCCACTGGTTTAGTAACTGCTCCTCCTACTCCCCAAGGGCACCAGGACAGATGCCCTGTGCTAAAACGGAATGTGATGACAGAGTGGATTTCTTGGTATCCTTTGAACAATGTAAGTACTTCTTCATGAGAGAGTTGCAGAATTAGAACTGCAATATTCCAAAGATAAATTTTAGTGCTTCCCTCTTCCCCTTTTATTAACTAAAAAATAAACAAAACTTAAACTTCTTGGGTGCAGCATTTAATATACAGAGAAAGACAAAAGAAGCAGGAATTACCTATATTCTGCAAGGCTTAGTGAAGAATCAACACTTATTTACAGCAAGTGTGTCTGAATGGAGCTCTGAAAGTCCTGGATGTATTGAGTGAGAACATACCAGGAGGTGAAAGGGGTGAGTCTGTGACTTGGGTACCACTGAACTTGCTGATTAAGTGGATAGGCTCTGGATTAGTAACCATTCCCTGGGTGACCCTGGGCAAGCTAAGGACCTCAAGAAAAATRGGGATGACAATAGTAACTCCATCTTGGGGCTTTATATATGCAAAGCAAACTAGGCCAGGGCCTGGCTATTAAGGACTCGTGGTGTGGTTACCTGTTATTATCAGAAAGCCCTGAGGTGGCATCTGCACTGGCATCTCGAGGAGATTCGGATGTCTTCCCCAGAGTCTGGGGAAACAATTTTTTGTCTCATTTCTCCTTTCCTTGCTCTTCCCTACTTTGGCCTGTCCACCTGTCTCCTTCCTATCCTTAGTCTAGGCACTTCTCTCTCCTGTCCTCTAAGAGCTGAAGCTTCAGCAGGAGGTGCCTGTTCCTGCTAAGGGAAGCACCCTGGGGACCTCTGGGGCAGGGGGCAGTCTCAGGGTCTGCTCTGCTCTCTCCAGAGGTTTCCATGCTAATCACTGCACTGAGCAGGTCCAGTGCATCCTTGGGCTCTCCCTTTCCTGCTTGCTCTAGCACACCAGTGTGCTGTTATCCCACGCCTAATAATAAGTGTGTCAAAAACCAAGTCCACTACTTTCCTACATAAAATTAGCTAGTTGGCTTTCTAAGTTTCCCAAGTTCTTGATTCTCCAAGCTGAGAATCCACTACCACCTTGCTTGTTGAATCTTCCGTCTCTCACTTTGCAGACTTGGCCCCAATCCTTACTCCTTGGCTGTCTTAGGCAGCCTCCCTGGTGCTTCCTCAGCAACCCCATCCCCACCCCATTTCTAGCCTTTCACAACAGTAGAGCTGTATGGCTGTCAGCACCCTAGGATAGGGACAAGTATCTTCTCCTTTAAAAGAAGCATCATTTATGTCATTTATCCTGAGGACAATCACATCCACATAAAAGAAAGTCTCTGCAACTTTTTGCAAAGATTCGTGTGCTTCCTGAATCATAGAGGTCCTTACTGTGACTTTATATCACTTCACTCAGAAGCTTCCCACCGACATTCCACAGTGTTGCCATCAGACCTGTCTGCAGCTCTCTTGTTCTCCTCCATATGGCTATGCAAAGCTTTGTTTTCTGCTCAAAGAAGCAGGCCTAGGATAGGAGGCACTGTTGGAGACTACATTTGTTGGAATTTCCACCTGGCCAGTGCCATGGAGAGGCTCCTCTATGTGGCAAGAGGCGGAAAGGCTATGTCTCGTCGTGTTTCACAGTGCTAAGTTTTGATTCACACCTTCTGGACGGTTTTTGGTTAACCAAACAACTAAGGGCTTACCCTTTCAGGCCCTGCTGGTTTTCAGTTTGGGGCAGGTCTGATTGGCTTTGCTTAGCCAGGGTATGTGTGATGTCTCCTCGTGCTTTCTCCTTTGCACTACAACTCTGTCCTCCTGGCAACATGAAGGATGATGATTGCTTTTTGTGGTGCCTGATACATTGCTCTCTACTCAATGAATATTGTTACCTGACTCCCGTCCAAGCCTGGGGGAATCTGGATTCACAAAGGAATAGAAAGAACCTTCTTACAGAATCTGGAGTATGACTGTAATTCTACTTTTGAAGCACCCGCTTCCCGGAGGAATGGCCAGTGATGGATGCCACTGTCAGAAACCCAGATGCACACACTCATACATCAGCCAGGAAATTACATAAACAGCTCACCCAGCARGCCAGAGCTGACTCACCATTTGCTCTCCTACAGGAAGAGAGGTATCAGGAAACCCAGGGCAGCAGCAGGAAACAGACAAGAGAGAAGGGGTTAGAAGAGGAATGGGTTCTTGCAGGTCCTCCTAGTATTTTCCTTCCTCATCTTCTGCTGCGGGCAGTAGCCATAGGCTCAGCTTGGGGGTTTGTAGTTATGCTGTAGTGTGGCCAGAATCATGGGGAGTTGTTTGGAAACATTTGTCCTGGGAGTGGGGAATCAGCCTGCTTTCATGGTGCGTGTAAATGAAAACATACAGCTCTAGACACATACCTTTGTTCTTACATGGGTACAGAGGATGTCATTAGGGATGGATGCAAGCTACCTAGGCTAAGCTCAAACTATGACATTTAGTCTCTTTGGAGAGAAAAATCTATGTTGATTCCAGCAGGATGGGGCAGCAGAGGCAGATACTAGGGTGGAAGGGAGAAAGCAGCCCAGCAGGCCCCCCCGGCAGCTCCTGAGTGGGGGGTGGTTTATCGGTAGCGGCAGGCCAAAGCGTTGACGTTCTTGACCACATAAAAGCCCATGGTGACTGGAGGGATGACCAATGTCCGGCCGGCCCGCAGGGGGCGGGGTTTCAATTCTGGGAGGGTCCCGTCGTCCACCATCACTAAGGGCTGGCCATTCAGCTGCACTGACCTGCAGTGGGGAAACAGCACAGACCTCATTACTGGATTATCAAGGAGACTTCTCAACAAAGTCTTGCAGCCCAGCTTKCCTGCCAATCAGTCTGGTGCATGCTTTGCCAGCCCTTACATGATGCTGGCTATGCCCAGGTGCTGACCTAGTTGTTGTACCATAATGACTTGTCAAACACTCTGACAGCCCTCTGAGATAAGTAACTATCATCATCCCTACTTATCTCGGGCAGCAAGTGACCTGTCCAAGGTCATACAGCTTGTAGGTTCAGGAGCCAAGATTTGAACCCAGGGAATCTAACTCCAGAGATGTATCATTTAGATCAGTAAAAAGTCTCTGATACAGGCTGGATGTGGTGGCGGACGCCTGAAATCCCAGCAGCTCAGGAGGCTGAGGCAGGAGGATCATGAGTTCAAAGCCAGCCTTGGCAATGGTGAGGTGCTAAGCAACCAGTGAGACCCTGTCTCTAAATAAAATACAAAATTGGGCTAGGGATGTGGGTCAGTATCTGAATGCCCCTGAGTTCAATCCTCGGTACAAAAAAAAAAAAGTCTCTGATACAGAAGCTGGAAATGTGGAAATGATTCATGCCTTTTTGTCTTAAAATCATAATTGCAGCTCAGCCTGTCATTTCTAAAACTTCTAAGAGTTTTCCCTGGTGGAATGATGCACAAGCTCAAGATGATTTCCGAAATCTTCCATTTACTTCATCTTTCATTAATTTGACAGGTTAGATAACTGGCATCGTGTTACTTGTACATGTTACTGGCTTAGGGTTATTCTTTTTTTTTATATACCTTTATTTTATTTATTTATTTTTATGTGGTGCTGAGGATAAAACCCAGTGCCTCACACATGCTAGGCAAGTGCTTCACCCTGGAGCCACAAACTGCAGGCCCCAGAGGGTTATTCTTAAGGGGGTCAGAGATATACCTAGCAACTCTACTTTCTCTAATCTGAGTTTTATATTTGATATTTAACAGGATGGGGCAGGTGTTTTCATTTTAGCACCACAAAAAAGTAGGCAATAAAGTAGGCATCTATGGTCACAATTCACCTATCCTGCTTGCTTTTTGTTCAAGTCAGAGAAAGGAGATCATATCCATTTCAAACTTGGGGAGAAAAGAGAAACAGCTAATCTTAGGCTGGATGGGAGAGAAATGCCACCTGTCATGCCTATGATGCAGACTCCGGACAATTTCCCAGAAATTCCTGACAGCCATGCACCCAGGTGGTATCTCAGTTTTATGGATTAGTCGAAAAGGCCAGACTCAGGCTAGCAGCTGGAAAAAAGGTTGTGAGTCATCCCCAGAAAATCGACATTGCATAGTGATGTCTGTCTCTGGGCCTTGCACAGCCTCCAAGGTGGTAGTACTATAGTGATATCATCTGAGTCGTAAGGAGAATAAAATATTATAGATTAATATAAAGGCCTTTGTTTGGTATTCCTTCTGTGCTATAAATGATAGACAGGTTTACAGAGAGATAATCATCTCCATGCCCAAGAGAGCAGTGAATTCCCAGAGATAAGTGTGTTTCTAAATTTCTCCCAATGAACAGCTAGGCAGAGAAGAGGTTCAGGCCTCGTCCCACCTGGATAACTTTGGACTGGGTCCAGACCTGCCAAGCCAGAGGGAGCAGCATGCCCACCCCTTGATGGAATGACTAAGGAATGAATGAGTGAGCAGGGGACTCCTGGGCTGCCTCCAGACAGGATGGTGTGGGAGAATTGAGAGCTGACAGTCAGCACTGGCATCATCAGATTCGCAAAGAGCTTTTGCTTCCAAATATGAGACAGCTCTTGCTCTCTTCTTGTCACTGGAGTGGGAAGCAGGGTGAAGAGAAGGGTTCACTTGCAAAAAAGCCCAGACAGGTTGTGTCTTCATAGTGTATTTCAGGTGAAGTGAATATCCAACAACCAGGCATAAGCCCAGTCAAATGCAAGTTCAATAATGCTGATTAACCTTCCCAAACACATTCCAATGTGTATCACTTCTCTGCTTGCAAACCTTCAATGGTTTCTCACTTACAGAATTAGGTGCAAGAAATTAGGTAATGCACTTTTAGATCCAGAAGGTCCCAGAACACTGACATCTTTGAGTTCTGGGAAGAGCAAAACAATGTGACAAGCAAGTCTTTAAAAATCTAATAACTATTAACCAGTAGTTATTCTGGAACAGGCCCTATTCTGACTTCTTCCCTGGGTGATTAAAAAGTCCCTGAGTGTGGGTGATTGGGGAGCACCTTCAAGACCCTGGACTGAAATCTCTAATTCCAGAAGCTAAGTCACTAACTTGCTAGATGGCTTTGGCAAATCCCTTAACCTCATGGCCCTGCAGAATTAGCATCTGTAAGCATGTTCTATGGACTATAGTGCAGATTAAATGAAATAAAAAAATATGGAAGCGCTTTGCGAGCATAAAGAGCTAGGTAAGTAAGAGATGTGTTTCTGCTGTTATTCTTTTCATTTTATAGACAGATACACTTATCATACTTATCATACTTGACTGCTCTGTAGAACTGACCCTTTTCCTGGCTTCCTTCTGAAAATCTTCCCTCCCCTTAGTTCCCATGATCTTTCTCTCTAGGTTTTCATCCTTCATTTCTGGATGTTGTTCCCCTCTACCTGCCTCTTAGATGTGGGGGTTTCCAGAACGTTGTTCTTGGACTCTCTTCTTACACTGTTTACTCCTCCCAGGGTGCAGTGACTCTGCCTACTATCCAGCTGTTGACAGCCATTTCTCTAGTCTACATCCTCCTTCCAGACTTGCGTATTTCTACTTTGCAGTTCCATGGGTTCCATTTGGATTCCATGCAATCCAAATCCAAAATCTTCTCCTCAAGCCTTGTCTTTATCTCTGCTTTTAGAACACCTTTGTGATAGTACCACCATTTATTCAATTACCCAAGTCAAAAAGTTGATGTCATGAAGTCAAATCAATTCTGTTCATATTTTTCTTTTTTCATGTTTTTCAATGTTAATGTTTTCTCCATTCACTGCAATGATGGTAGTTCAGAACTTGCCTCCTACTCTATCCCTGTGCCATCTTTCTGACAGAGCAATCTGTTGTTGTCACTGCATGCCTCAAACTCCCTATCAACTGGCCATCCCTTCTACTTCACTATGGATGATGGAGCTGGCTCCACCTATCCAATCTCAGATCCTGCCAGTCTCCCCAGGCTGCAACCTAACTATGGACCACAGATGTCAGCAGTGGGCAAGGGATGAATTGGCAGTTATCACAAGGATTTCTATTTTTTTTTCCTTTTATACTAGGGATTGAACACAGAGGTGCTTTACTGCTGAGTTACATCCCAACTCTTTTTTATTTTTTACTTTGAGACAGGGTCTTGCTAAGTTCCTGAAGATCTTGCTAAATTGCTGAGGCTGGCCTTAAAACTTTTGATCCTCCTACTTCAGTCTCCTTAGTTGCCGAAAGACTTTTTTCCATTCTAATCTTTGCATACGGTTATATCGAGGAAATTGTAAAGATTTCCATATGCAAAGATTAGAATGGAAAAAAGTCTTTCACATGAGATAATTATTTCTCAAGTGAAAATGTTAAATATCTATATACTGTGGGGATTAAAATACATGCATCATTTAAGTGCAGTAAATATTTTTCTAGCATAAATATCAGTTGACACTGGGACTAACAAGACATGAGTTCTTTTAAAACTCTTATGAAATTACTGATAGATTTTTTTTTGGTGGGGAGGAAAAAATATCATATCTTTTTTTTTTTTTTTTAAAAAAAGATTTTGCTGTGAGCAGTGGCAAACACTTGTAATCCCAGCAATATGGGAGGCTGAGACAGGAGGATTATAAATTTGTGCTAGCCTCAGCAACTCACTGAGAACTTTCTCAAAAAATAAAAAAGGTGAGATGTAGCTAAGTGATAGAGCACCCCGGAGTTCAATTCCCAGTACTTCTAAAATGATGAAAAATAAAAATTTTAAAAGGACAATTAATGTGAAGTGGGAAGGCCATGACACACACTGACACTTCAAAGGAATCCTCACACTGGGAGAGGCTGGCACCCTTATGCCAGCACAGCCAAAAGGAATGACTTGCCAGTCCTCCTCTGTCAGACTAGGTGCAATGGGTCTGCAGAGTCTGCCCAGGTGTTTCCTCCTCTGTAAAACCTCCTCTGACCCCTGGGTTGGGTCAGGAGCCCCACATCTGGGCTGTCTTGGTGCCCAACACTTACCTATACCCAGGGCCCTTCTCTCACTGCTTTGTAGTGATTTGCTTGCTCTACTCTGCACTGGTCTGTGACTCCTTAGTGCCCAAAAGAACAGAGAAGGGGCTTAATAGTTTCTGAATAAGTGAATGAACTTTGGAATCTTTTTGCATTATTTCTAGTCTTCCTGAGTTAATATCTTCAGTTCTGAAGAGGCTCCCTGGAGGTTCACTGAGTGACTTTACAGATTTCATTAATAGTCCAATTACTCTTGCTCAGTGGAGGTGTTAGATAAAATCTGAATTATCACCGATTCTCACAATCACTCACTAGATACCTTATCCCAACCTGACACAAGACCATTGGTCATGGCTAGTGTTTTTCATTCTTAAAAACGATCCATACAATCATCTCTTAGCTAAACCAATGTGAGTTAATTTTATGAGTAAGGTTTTGGGAGACCTTAAGTCTTTATATGTCTTTATCTAGAAATACATTTATTTTAAAGATAGACAATGTACTTTATGGTCTCCATTCTATTCTTCCTGCTTATAGTTTTCTTTCACTATTTATCTGATTACTCAGTGAAATCAAATCATACTAAATATACCAATAATTCCTGGTATACACTGAACAGTTTGTAAGCTTGCACACAATCACATTAGTGGTAAAAAAAAAATCACTGATTATGGAGCACCATTTATGTGAAAGGCACTATGTGTTATGATTTTGTCTCATTCAGTCCAGGTGTTAGTATTCCTAGATTGCAGATGAGCACATCAAAGTTCAGAGGTGTCTAGAGCTTACCTGAGTCAC